AAGTCTGGCGATCCGTTTCTCCTGTGAAGACATACTCGGACCCCACCTTCGAGATCAATACCAGTCTGCCCACAAGCATTTCCTGGGGCATGTCTTATCAGCCCGTTATCCAGGACATGATGAAGATTATTGAAGGGTTTACGAAGACCGAGATCGATCCGTCCGATAGAGTCGGCTTCTGGGATAAGATCAGATTGAGTTTCCACTCGCGAATCAAGGTAGTATGGAAGGAGGACGGAGACGTCCATCTTCGTCTCAAAGGATCGCGTGACCCATACGTTGTTACTGGATTTGGTGGTGGATTTGTAATGTGTTGGCGCAAGGATGTCAAATGGGAGATCCATACCAGCGATGATCCAATGGAGTTCATGAGCGTTACAAGTGGGGAGTACGTGCTGGCAATCCCCGACTATAGCCACGAGGCACGATATATGGCCGAGGCTACGGCCCAGGATCTGGAAACGACATCATCTTCCAGCGATCTGAAGAATGCGGCTCACTTCAAGAAAGTCATTATGAAGCTATCGGGTGACGTGCGTCTGGTTGCTGGCTTAGTATTCGAGCGGAACGTCAACGAGAATGAACGGTCATTCCAGTTCAGACCTCACTATGATGTTGTCCTTCAAAACCCCCTACTCATTGACCCAGCACATAAAGAGGTAAGCTATATGTCCTGAAGTTTGCAAAGTCTAAAGCTAAACTGTCGACAGGACTATGACGCCTACCGCGGCTTCCGCAGTAACCACATCCATCTATCGATCTCTGTCATTGCGCCGGTCAGCAGGAATTGGTCTGTTGACTCCGTCCAGCCATCTGCAAGCTACAATACTGTGCATTTGAGTCCCCGCTTCTTCACACATTTCTTCAATTGGTGGTCCCTATTCTCGGGGGTTATGTCATTGCCAGTCCGACAAGGACCGCTATGGCCTGGTGTCACAAAAACAAGCAAGAAGTTCAACCGTCATTTAGCGACGGTCAAGTACAAGCTACTCTTTGCTCCACTATTCGTTGCCCATATCTATAAGCACAAGGATCGCGAAGATTACGCGGAAGATGTCGTGACGGCCACCGGCATCAAAGTTCGACTGGACAGTCTCAAGCTCGATGTTCACCAAAGACGGGAACACGTCAAAACTCAAGCCAAGGGTCGCTTAAAGCAAACCAAGGCGAGCGCGATGCGGATCAACCAAGCACAGCTGGACCTGCAGGCCGCAGACTTTCGTGCTGTTTCTGCCAGCATTGAAGGCACAAATTTCGATGACATCGAGAAAAATAGGGATGATATCTTGTCGTCCTTCCAACAGCCCGTCGCATCGGTGGATTTGTCTCGGTTCACGATCCCTGATCAGAATCTTGACTGGATAGACATGGACGATTTCGTGGAATTGGACTGGATACTGCCTCAGGAGTCGAACCCTCGGACTCAGATCTTGCCTCTGGCATTCACACCACGCTTCACATACTTCCGTCAAACCGACCATGGGCAGACGGTGCCAGATGAGACTGGATATAGCTCATTTGGTGACGAACCGACTCACATTTGTGTGATGTCTGAGAACAATGAGCCTCGTCGAGTGCAAATGGAACTGATTAGAGATCGCCTGGTCTCCGTCGAGGCTCAGATGCGTGATTGCAACCGGACTATTGGCGAGCAGGAACTTCGCATGGCGAGGGAGGTAGATCATGATCCCGAGTTACGGAAGCAGCACGCCGACTATCTGAGACAAGCAGAAACGTTGACACGGAGACGAGCGTTTCTTACAGCTGGTCTGCAACGCATCGAAAGGCTAATAGCCCGGGAGGAGAAGCATCCAGTGGAAAGAAACCCGGAAGCCTTCGCCAATGACAGCGCTTCTAAGCTGGGAGCTGACTCAGATTCAACAAGCGATGCGCGAGACGCCGACATGGACGGACTCTACTCTGGGCCTGATGACGAATTGGCGAGCGATTTCAACAATCGGTTCATCATTCACAATGTTCAGCTCAAGTGGAACAATTCGTTGAGGAACATCATGCTTCGTTACATCCACCAAGTAAGCCAGAGACGCGGTTTCGTGTATTACATGTCTCGGCGGGCCGTTAAGTTCATCCTCGACATTGTCGAGGAGCAGAACAAGAACAAGCAGAAGCACTCGAAACTGTTCCGGACAGCATCGAGACGCCCCTCGGATGCTCGTGGTCTCGTGGATAGCGAAGATGATGACAGTGTCGAAGATCGCATTGAGCAGTTGTTGAATGATGCCAAACGATTTGTGAGCGCCGAAGAACAAGAGAACCAGGAGCAGAGAAAGCCGAGCACTCCCACATCGGAGGGCTCCAGCGAAAATATTGCGCCTGAATTCACACCTCAGAACAGTTATCATCTGCGGCTCATCGCCCCTCAAATCCAGCTCCAGAGTGAAAAGAACCAGAAATCTGTGTTGTTGGTCGCCGCTAAAGGGATGCAATTGCAGGTCATCTCTATTATGGACAAAGAGCGAGTTTCCGATGATGTCAGCGGTCTGGTTCAGCGTCGCTTCTCCCTTTGCATGGACGGAGCCCAGTTCTTCGTGGCAACGCAGAAGAATCTGATGAATCACCTCCAGTTTTATGCAGGCAACAAATATGGAAATTCACCAGGTTCAGCGTGGCCACCCTGGTTGACCCTAGAAGCAGTATTCGACTTTGAGTTGAATCCCTTTGGCTTCTCGAGGATTATCCAGAAAACTTCGGCTAGCTTACGATATGACAAGTACAACAATCTGCGTCTGAAGTATAACGAGGAAGTGGCAAAGGGTCAACCAGGGCAACCTCTCAATATCGAAGAGCAGGAGCCGAGGATGGATCACATCAGTGTTGATTTCCCCCACTTCAGAGCCATCTGTGATTCGGCAGAGTATTATTCGATGTACATCATTGTCCTGGACCTCCTTCTTTACAGTGAACCACTGGAAAAGGTCCGCAATGAACGTTTGGAGAGGATCATGCTCACGTCTGATTTCAGTGACCTGAGGGGCGCTCCAGAGATGGTCTTCAAACTCCAGGCCCGCATTCGACAACTAGAGGAGATCAAAGAGCATTTCCAGATACATGCCAAGTATTTGGACAAGCAGGGCTGGGAAGATCGCTTGGTCCTTGAGAGAGACCTTACTCAATGCGAGGACGAGCTGTTCTTCCTGATGAAAGCCATCACTAGCTCTCAGAGAAAGATCGATCCGACCATGTCAAAGGCGAACGGAGTCCTCCGCTGGAATATCTCGGCCAGTGAGGTTGTGTGGCATTTGATGAAGGATCAGTCAGAACCACTAGTTGAATTCCAGCTGAGGAATGCCGCTTATGATCGCACCGACAATAGTGACGGTTCGAACCATAATGAAGTTGCAGTCGAACGACTGTATGGCTTGAACCTGCTCCCAGATGCGATCTATCCCCAGATCATTGTTCCTTACCTTGACCAAGCTCGCAGCCTTGACGGACCTGATGATTATATGATCAAGGTCAAGTGGCACATGCTTGAGGCAGTTGCCGGCATACCGGTGGTGGACGATTTTGAGGTGTCTCTTTTCCCTCTGAAGGTCCAATTGGAGCAGGTCCTCGGCCAGAAGGTTTTCGAGTACATGTTTCCTAATGTTGGGTCGACTGCTTTCGAAAATGGCGGATTTTCACCCTTCATGATCAAGAACATGAAGCCGATTGATGGTTCATCTGACTCTGAGGAGGAGGAACGCCCAAAGACATCCCCTGGACATGAGCAGAGTGATATGTCGGCAGACGATTTGTCTTTGAAGGGATCTGGAGCCATTGAGTTAAGACTTCAGCCCACGCTTTCTCTGGCGGAGGCGGCCAGGCCTCGATCACAGCATCGCCATCTCAAGGGCCTTGCACTGACTCCCATTCACAAGGATAAAGATCCAAACCTCTTAATGCGCCCGTCGACGAGTGGGGCGTTGAGCAAGAAGAGATCGGTCGACAGCCTACGCATGTTGTCAAGACAACCCACGGAGAGGTCGCTAGCAAACACCGCCGGAACGAACTCCACCGGCGACGAAAAGTCAAAGAAATTCGCTCTTGGAAGACCCAGCAAAGGCAAGTCCAAGGAAACTCCGGATGACCTGGCTCAGATGATGTCACGTGCATCAAACTATATGACGTTGGCTCATGTCAAGGTGCACGACGTGGTGCTCTGCCTCAGTTACAAAGGCAAGGGTGACCACAATCTGGAGGATCTCCATGACTTCGTCTTCCGATTGCCGGTGCTCGAGTATCAGAACAAGACATGGTCGAATCTGGATCTGGCTCTGCGCCTCAAGAAGGACGTTATCAAGGCTCTTATCTCGCATGCACCTGCAATTCTTGGCAACAAGTTCTCCCATCATCGTCCTTCCAAACAGCAGCAGCAACAGCAGAAGCGGTATCGCGAGCTTGTAAGCTCATCCCAGCTTCTACATAACTCAGACAGTGTAGCGCAATCAACATCTGAGAAAGCCAGTAGCCTGGCCAGCGTCGACTCGAACAGCGAATACTCGGAGTCACAGCGCTCTGGCCATTCGGGGACTTTGCCGCTTGCGCGGTCAAACTCACTCGGATCTAGCATGCTCAGCGTCAACGAACCGAGTGGAGTGATTTCTGATTCTCGGTCGGCGAGCGAGGTTGATGTGGATGCTCGTTGGGAAGTATGTACTGCCTAAAGTCAATAAATTTTGGGAACCCTTGCTAACTGGTTATGTAGCAATCTCGCCGGCTTGTCAATCCTCCCAGCAGACCGATGACTTCGGGACAAGCTCTGCCTCGATCTCAAACCACCAAGCTCTGGGATGGACCAGAAGAAAGGTAAGCTTATATGAATCGCATGGATCACATCTTTGAACCCAACTTATTCTTTTGTAGTAGTTCCGGCAACAAGACTGCATCGATCCGCAACTTTGGCCGCAAATTAATGCCTTCTCGGAAATAGTCTCCCTATTTCACAGCGGAAGGCAATCGTTCGAACTTCGCACCCCTTCCAGGATCTCTTGTTTCATAATAATCCTGTTCTCCTCATTAAGACCTCGCTTGTTACACATTCCCGACCTTGCATTTGCCATGTGATACCCCCAGTGCAGTGGGTCGTATATAGGCGTCGACACATCGGTATGCTTTTCTCGCCATGGAGTCCGTTCATATTACCAGGAGTTTGTCTGGGGATCTTTGCTGTTGCTTCCCGCCCCCTGATTTTGCCATCCATCCTTATTGATTCCCTCCCCCCGTACAAAACCTTTATTTACCCTAATCTCTTCTCTCTTCGAAAATATCTTTCTGCATGTACCACTTCTTGTCCTTGTTCTTCTTTCTTTGTTTTTCAGAGCCTAGACGCTGAATCGCAAGTGTATATCCTTTGCATGTGCAGGGTATGTTTACGGCCGTCTACGGAGTTGCATTCGTGGGTGATGCGCGATACGAGCGCATTGAACATATGGTGTGTGGTATGGTTCTGTGGGTATATATCAGGATAGACGGTGCAATAAAAAGGTACTCTGGGTCAATACTATTTGTTTCTGCCATGCCATACAGCTTTTCATGAGAAACGATGTTCAGAAATCTCCTTGCCCACCGACGGTTTGGGGAGTTAGCACTGCGTTCCTCTGTGGTATGTTGTGCAGCAAGTAACTCTTTAGCCCCGCCCCTACTTGGTCGATTGGATGCAACGATAGACTGCCTATCTAGCTCTACCTGTATCCCCAACCCCAATCATCTCCAACGCCCCCTCACACAACCCCCGAAGTTGCCTCCACCTCTCCACCAACATCTTAAGTCTGCACCGCTCCCACTCCGGAGACCGCACCACCACGTCCACGGCGGTCGAGGACGGCACAACAGACACAGTGCCCCCATCACTCTTCCCCTCTACACTACCCCCCCGGTCCCCCACGCAGTTCTGGTGGTCATCATCCAACATCGCCTCAATCCGCGCAACCACCGCCTCGCACTCCCCGCGATACACCTCAATCCACCCCCGAACCACCTCCGCGCACCTGTCGCCGCGAAACCCCCGCCGCGAGCGGCCGGTGATCCACAGTTTCCAGTCGCGGCGGGCCATGGTTTTCAAGGCGGCTGCTGCTTGGATGTGTTTGGGGAGTGTCGGTGAGGTTGCGGGCAGTGTGAGTTCGAAGTTTCTGGGGGTGAATGGTTAGCTTTCCTCTCATTGTGTTTTGTTTGCGGTTATTTTTCACCATGAAGGAGGGGATAGGGTGTTTGGGTGGAGGGCGGTCTTACCCGAACAGGTCCTGCCCGATGAGGTCTTTCTTCTGCTCGATGGTGAGGTCGTGGAAGATGATGTCGTCGAGGTAGATGCTATCTGAGGGGTTGGTGGGGAGGAAGAAGCCGTCTGTTGCTTGCTTGTTAGATTATGTTCGCTTGGGGCTTGGGGCTTGGGGCTTGGGCCAGGGGCTTGGGCCAGGGGCTCGGGAGAGGGGCATACATTCGACGAAGAGGAAGTCGTTGGAGTGGGAGCCGTAGCTCATGAAGATTTCTTCGCCTTGCTCTGTGGGGTTTTGCGGGGTTGTTGTTAGATTGAGTGGCCTCTTGGGGTGGGGAAGGTGTTTGTGGTGTGAGGGTTGGTTGCATACCGTATTGGCGGGTGGCTTTGAACAGGTAGTTCTGGCCGGTCCAGATGACTTCGCATGCCTGGTTTGCGAAAGGGTGTTAGAGATCTGTTTGGCGTAGGCGTATGGGTAGGGGTTGGGATTGGCTAGGTGAGTGCGTAGGGGTTGGCTGGCTGACTGGCTGGCTTACCGCATCGTCGTCGTGGTTGAAGTAATCCGCAAACGGGACCATGGCGATGGCATCGTTCCAGTCCTCCGGCTCCTCTTTGCCCGGCGAGACGTAGTAGAAGCTCCGCGAGTTGATGATGAACCAGTAGTAGGCGAACGTGCTCCACTCGATTTCTGGGTATACGGTGCGCATATGTGTCCATGCGGTCTGTAGCCGATTCTCCTGCTGGGCCAGCAGGTTCTGGTATCTGGTTTCGTAGTCCACGCCTACTGGTTCCGGCTGGAAGGTATTCCAGAGTCCGGAGATTGAGGGGGGTAGAAGGCTTGGTGGTGCTGTTGACGACGATGAAGTCTCGCTGCTGCTGTCGCTTGTGGCCTTCTCGAAGGCGGAGTTGGACCGGCGGAGATGCTCTGGCCAAAGCACGGGCATGGTGTCCTCGAACTCGCGGAAGTTCGGCCATACCTTGCGCCAGGGTTCTAGCTCCTGGAGTAAAGAGGCGTCTCCATGGCTGAGAAATGCAGCGAGAATGCAATGGATGGAGGTGCGTGAGGGGAATTGCTCCACGAACGATGCGGGGATGGAGTCGATGGTCAGCATTGCTGATACGGGCACGCTGAGCATGACCTCGTTCTCCTGCGGCTGCATTAGCATATATAGCAGACAGCGGGTACGGGTCATCGACCACGGAGGTCTTTAGGGTATGGGGTATAATACATACTTCTATCGTCCGCGTCGCTTTCATGCCCAGGCGTCGGCCGGGGAATCGCGCTGGAGTGATGCCGTTGATCGTCACGCCTTGGGACTTGGCCCATTGCATGAACACAGCATGCTCCTGGCCGGGGGACTCGTCCGTTGCCATCATCAGCTGTCTTCCAGCCACTTTTTCTGCTGTGTATGTTGAATTGAACCCAAAAAAGACATGGCTTGGATGCTTGTAGTTCTTCACGGCGCGATTAGGTAAGCGGGATATCCCATCCGACCGTTCCTGCCTGAGGCCAGCGGTGCTCCGCGGACCTGCCTGTGCAGATGCAGATTCGCTATCCGCCTCAAATCCAAGGCTTCTTGCGGCGCGACCTTTTTGTCTTCTGGTCGACATTGCGAAACACCATTCTCCCCCTCCCCTTCCCACCTCCCACCCCTCCCCCTAAAAGCGAATCCAAGATGTCCGACCCCGCCACCCGCCCGGCCACCCCGCCGGACGCAAAGATCGACCACGCGGCCTCGCTCCGCTACTGGAACAGCGTGCCCGCCAACGCGAACGTGATGCTCGGCATGCTGGGCCAATACCCGTGGTACACGCGGATCGACCTGCGCGGGTCGAAGACCTTTTTGAACAAAGTCCGCCGCCTGATCCCCGACTGCCCGACGGAGGGCAAGCTGGCGCGCGGGGTCGACTGCGGCGCGGGCGTCGGCCGCGTCACCGAGGGCCTCCTCGCGCACGTCTGCACGACCGTCGACGCCGTCGAGCCCGTCGACAAGTTCATGCAGATCATCCGCGATTCAACGTTGAAGCGCGACGGCGTCGTCGGCGACATCTACACCCTCGGCCTGGAGCACTGGCTCCCCGACAAGCGGTACGACCTCATCTGGACGCAGTTCTGCGTGGGCCACCTCACGGATACGCAGCTGGCGGAGTACTTTGTCCGGTGCCGCGAGGCGCTGACGGACACGGGCGTGCTGGTCGTCAAGGAGAATCAGTCGACGGATCCCCGCGGCGAGGATATGTTCGATGAGGAGGATAGTAGCGTGACGCGCACGGATGAGAAGTTCCGGAAACTGTTCAAGGAGAGTGGGCTCGTGGTGGTGGCGTCCGAGTTGCAGTTGGGCTTTCCGAGGAACTTTCGCCTGTTGCCGGTCAGGTTCTATGCGTTGAGGCCTGTTTGAGTGGTTGTCCTAGGGGGCTTGAGAAGAGATTATGCAGGGTTGGAGGATAAGGAGAGCATTGAGATGAAATCTCGGCTTGAAGGGGAGCTCGGGTGGCTATAGCTGACTGGGTAGAGACGGCAATTGTCAACATCAACCGATTTGGTCCCAGGCATCTGCATCTGGCGGAGCGAAGATGCTATGGCCATTTGAGCCTGCCATGATGATCGTCGTGTCGACTACATCGCGCTCTAGTGGCACATGGCATCCCCGTCACGGCACCTCTCGAATATGCCACGATATATGAGACTCGATCTATGTGTGCATGTGTCTAAGGAAGGAATGACGATGGCACGAGTGCAATGAAGTCAAACCCAACCAGGACCGAGAGGATGGGTTGTTTGCTGCTGGCGGCAAAGTATACAATCTTGGTATTATGATTCCATTATCTAAAAGCAAATGCCCCAAGCCGGGAATAATAAGTCTAGGTATACGAACACAAGGTGCAACTATCAACAAGTCGCTTTGAAGCAGAAGGCCTGGGTATCTTTATGTACAGTAACATGTCGGCGCAGCCGTCGTAAATCTCATCATGAATATTTTTCGTAATCTTCGCGTTTGTTGTGCAGTTGTTGGTTTGTCGTGGGCTTCAGTAGTCCCGCGTCTTAGCTCGTCTTCATTACGCCCAGGGTTATCGAACTCGGATAGGAGAACACCATTGCAATGTGTCGAAGCAATGTTGTTATGTCCAGGTAGACCGAGAAGTATCGCAACCCTGCAAGATGGCTCAGGACTGGGTGGATGGCGCGGATGGACTAGATGGTGCAGATTGTTTTTCGCGGCCCCAGGGGAAGATATTTGGCAGTCGATCATGAACACTCTCGAGTCGCGTCCGAGCGGAGGGCGCATTCGGGTCGTCGGTATACGCAATGCCTCCTTCACCGTGGTTTGCGCCCCATGATTGTCTTTCGCGTCGAAGATCACTCTGGACCCATGGGATAGTGATCAAAGTCCAGACTCCAGCCCAGGCGAATGGAAGCGTCCAGCCCAGCTTAGAGAGGTTCATTAGTCATGATAGTCGTATTAAGGGAGAGTGGACGGACTTACAGTATAGGCAACCGGCTCCTCCACGGTGAATATGATCGCAGTGATAGCAGCAGCGCATACAATGGATCCTCCGGTCCAGAAACAGTTCATCTGAAACAGCATACGGCGGAAGTATGGGCTCGAGAGGTACCGCGTCCGAAGGGCATATCGGTAGATCTGACCGCCGCCTCCATCCACGGCAACCACATCTTCAATGAGCACATACAAGGCGGTAGGCATTGTCGAGCCTTTCGGGGTGGAGGAGATTCGGAAGGGTGCTTTCACACCACATGCGCGGAGGATGTCAAGGGTGAGGTAGACACCACCAAAGTAGAACATAACGGTTGGAAGGACCATTGCCACGAGACGCACTATTCATTCACTGATGTTAGCCAGAGTCAAAGGCACGGCGAACTAAGATCAACTTACCGTATGGCTCTTCCGGTACAGTTCCCCTGAGAAAGGTTAGCTGTATTCCAGCATCCTTGCCGACTATGACTTACACAATCAATTCAATTGCGAGGATCAACCAGACAATAGTAAAGTTGATGTGGAAGAAGTCCAGCTGCATGAGAGTCAGTATGACCCATGGCGTTGGCAAGCAGGTAACATACCCATCCTTTCGGTGCGTTCAACGGTCGAGCGCGAGAGTCTTTGCGAAAGAGGTTGTATAACCGATAGAAGTATTCAAAGACCGAGATACCTCCCAAGGACGCAGTCACAATACTGAAAACTGGACGGCAAAATAAATCAACAAAGGTCGGGAGGGTCGGGAGTGCGCAGGGAGACTGATAAACATACCGACGTTGTGAGAGAGGTCGGTGAGATACCATAGACACCAGTATAGGATGAGCGGTTGAGCCATTGTGTCGATGATGAAGAGAATCCAGAAAAACGCGATCGACTTCTTCCTTGTGCGCAAAGAGTAAGGGAGCTGCGGAGGCTCTGAGGGCGCCGTTCCGGCGGTTGCTTCTGTATCATCCATGATGGGTGGCTAGAAGCGGCACGTAGTAGTCGGGCTCGATCTGTCAATCAGTTGTTCTGTGATGTGATGGGTGGTTAGATTGATAAAGTAGCTTCCGAAACAATGCAAGGCATGGTGGGGTGGGAAAAGAGGACAAAAAGTAGCCAGTGTAGGAGAGCAGGTATCTTGCGAATCGAATGGGATGAGAGTAGAATAACTAGACTATATGGAGATTGGAAGGGAGGCAGTGTTCAAAGGCGAAAAAGAACCCGGAAACGACGGCTTTAGGAAATTGTTTTTCCCCCTGCGCTTTGAATTCGGCGAACCGAATGGCTTTTTTGGCTGGCCGCGATGCCTGACGTAACCCGGTCGCGGTGATGTCATCCGCCCGTTCCGTCACTCTTTATTTTTTTGCTTGTTCCTTCATTCCTCCACCAAACATCAACAGCATAAACAACCCAGACACTGCATATCCTTCAGCTGTAGACTTGGCTGATGTTATAAGGGCCACTGTTGTCTCACTCTATTGTGATTGTGTCTGGGAGAGTACTGGGATCCAGGTTCCATCCCAAAATGTCATCCCAGCGGTTCACCTGGTCTGACCCGCCCACCACCGCTGGAATACGAGATTTGCCTCCCACGCTTACCGCTGGATATAATCCTTTCTACTATAGCTTTTGTCAAAGGATTTCAGATAGGAGTACGGGGTAATACGTGCACAGTTCATCTCTCTCGGATTCTCCTTTGCCCCGTCCGTTCAATGCTCCGAGGTTCAAGCGACAGGATTAGGTATGTCTTTGATCATTCCATGCCAGCTCCACTTAAACCCTGGCCCGACCGGATGATCAGCGATTGATCGTCGGAATGCATGAAGTCATGCACAATTCTACCGGGCTGAGTAATTATGCACTACACAACTACTATACAAACAGTAATTGCCGCTTCCAACATTGAGATACAGGCACCGAGTAAATGTATGTAGCTATAGTGACATGAGAGCTCCAGCTGCGGGGTCCTATAGACAGCAGCATCCGATGGCGCATAAGATCTATTGCTAGGAGACTTGCTGCTAGCGTAACACGGTCAACAAACAAACACTCACTTTCTCAAGCTAAGAGGGACTACCACCACAGGAGCAGTTTACTTGACCAAGTTGCTTTCTGATCATAACACCACTTTTCTTCTCCAATTTTCCGTACAGTGTAGCATTTAAGCTATTCGATCTATTTTCTCCTTCTCCTCCTCCTCCTCCTCCTCTACCACTTCCCCCTGTTCTTTCACCTGCTTTCGAGGCCAACGATCCAAGGCCTTTCTACCTTTCTCTCAAGTGTGTATCCAGCAACTCACGAAGGCGTCAGAACGGAATCAAGAAGATCTAGAGCCAGAAGGTTAGCCTCAGACCTACAGCTTTTGTGACCCATGCGCCACTTCAAGCTCCAGCAGAAATGGGAGACACGCGCGGCTAATCTAATCAGGACCCGAGGTCATAGATATCGAAAACGCAATTATGTCTAGCTCAGGGGACGACGGATGCAACACCCCATCCCACACTACCCTGGCCTCCGATACCAAAACGTCCGTGACTTTTAGATCTCGAAAGATCATGCCTATGGCCAGGAGGCAAATACATCATCCGCAAAACACGGTCTAAACTCGCCATTGCGCTGAAAAATGGTCATTTGGGCCTGTACGTTTTGCCGACCAAAGACACCGCAAACTACGACCTGGGCTTTTACTGGAATTGTGTCGAGAATGATGGGTGGCTCGGCTTGAGAAACACTGTGTCTGGGGGTTTTATAGGACTTGAAGACCAAGATCCCCGAGATCTCGATGCGATTAGTCTGGAACGCACATCTAGACATAAACTCTGTGCTCGCCAACATCCAGATGGCAGCTACGTGCTCCTGTTCAGTCACGGTGCTTATCTTCGGCCATTGAGATCCAGTGGGGAGAGGTTGGGGGTTCATTTTAATTGGACTGAAGCAAGATGGGAGTTCATCCGAGTTGGCTCTCTCTAATTTTACTTGGACTCTACCGGGCTGATCTTCAATATGTTGAGATAAAAGAAACTTTTAACTTGCTTTGCGATATGATGAGATGGGATTGGACTTGATTTGTTTGTTCTTTTCGATATGCAGACTTTTCCAGTTTGCTTATGATCTGTTAGTATGGCTATCTATTTATTTTTTATGTACTACTGGCTAGGGTCGACAAACTCGTACTTCACCACCCAATAGAAGCCAGCGCAAAAACAGTAAATGTATCCTTTCGAAGCATATGAAATTACGCAGTGGCTGCCAGAGCGCGGAGGTTATACTCCGACCCAAACTCCGCATACGATTTCACATGAACGTGGGTATGTCCCGTCCAAGCTCCCACTCCATCATTGAATCTCTATTCTTTGACCTGCCTACTACCCATACTACGAAGGCATACATATTCACCAGCACACACGGAAGTAAGTGCAAGATCCGAGGTTAGGAAGGCAAAAGCCACAGCGAAGATCAGCCTCTGACGATTCGAGATCTTTACTACGAGTATGTTACGCGTAACGCAAGCCCCACATCGAGCTCTATAGGGATGGATTGCTCCCTACATGCTCATACAAAGCTAACTAACCGAGCTTGGCTGTAGGCGCTCGAGTACAGGATGTCTACGTCGGACGACTAAGGATGCGATACTCCAACCCATACTACTCCGCTCTCCATATATGCTGACTCAACCGGCCTTCCCTCGTTTGCAAGAATACAAACATACAAGCAGTCCACCTGCCCATGGAAAGGGGGGACATTTATCATCCACGAGCCCAAGTCCAACCTTGTCATCGCATTGAGCAACGGTGTCTTGGGCCTCTACCCGCAGAGAGAAGGCGGGAGCCGGGACACGGCTAATCACGACTTCGGGCCGTACTGGAAGTGTATGGAAAATGAGGCGAGGTGGCTCGGCTTCGAAAATACGGTGTCAGCCGCCTACATAGGACATAACAACGAAATGTCATGCTGGCGCTTCGCAGCCAAGCAGTTGTCTCACGGTGATCGGGAATCGTTTTGCGCACGGCAACATCCTGATGGCGGATATGTGCTCCTGGTCAAGTACGGGAGCGGGTTCGTACCTATGAGAGCCGGAGGAAAGGGTGGTACAGAGTTGGTGCTGGACAATGGGCAGAAGGAAGGAACGAGATGGCAGTTCATCCGAGTTGACTACCCTTGAGTTAACTCGGACAATTATGCCGATTTTATAAGGCCGAGAGAAGGTAGAGCAAAGAGGGACCTCGGAAGATACAAATAGTGAACTAGCGAGCTGAATCAAAAATGAAAATTTCCTTAATAGCATTTTTATTTTCGGTACTTTCAAGATGTCTCTTACTTCATTCAACGATGTGAATTACCTGGAGGGAATTGCCAATGAACGACTCCCTCCCAAGCGATATGCCACCACTCACGTGACAATTACACCCCTGTCACGTGGGTGGATGCCCCCAGCAATTCGGCCTCAACTTCCACCTTTTCCGCCACGACGCCGGTTCGATTCGCGCTTTGGCCTCGACCATTTTCTTTCTCGTTCAGTAAAATCTCCGTTGTCCAGGCAATGACCTGAAATGAATATCCGCTGCAGGTGATTTTTCCAAATCGAGATTGAGCTGTGCAAGGCAGTGATTATGGGGACAAAATGGCCCCAAGTCTTCGGGACCTGATTGATTTTCTGCTTGCAGAGATTGCTCTCTGCGGCGACCAAGGTTGGTTCCCTGTCAATCTCTTTGCTTCGATGAAGTGAAGGTGGTGATGATGCTCCACCACCACTTCTACTAAAACTCAACACACTTCCCCTGCATCTTGCATGCATCTCATTGGATCAAACTACTTCCTTCTGCCTGTCGTTCCTACCTACGCCTGCACTTCCATTTTTGACACTGATACCACGTACTTCCCAATGGTAAAGTCAACTAATGCCTTCTAGGTGCATCGCCATTGGATATACTAAAGTTCATCGATACATTTTATGCCAGACTTGCACAGGATGCCCCTGACCGCAGCCACACCGTGGACAGACGCTTCAAGGAGAAAGTCTGGTCCTGGCTGACCAAGAACCCCGAAATTTCGGTGGGTCAGAACAGGGAAGGAAACCATCTTCGCCTGCAAGATGTCGCCGGATTTTCTCGTGATGAGTCTTCCACCGAGGCGCACACTCCCACTTTGTCGTCGGGGCCTGTTCGCGTGTTCGTCTCAAAGGAGCGAACTTGGCTAGCAGTCACCGGCCATGAGCCGGATGAGACCAAAGTCTTGCCCACCGAGTTCGCTCTTCTCTCAATTATTGCCTCGCGTAAGCATAATGGCATCGTGCAGACAGATCTGGTCAAGGCCAGTGGTCAGGACAAGCGGTCGGTACCAAAGCGAACCGACGCTCTGCATCAAAAAGGCTACATCGAGAAACGGGCCATTCAAATCAAGGCTGCTCGGACAAGTCTTTGCACCCTTCGCCGGTTTCTGACACCCGAGCATGCACCTCAGTCCGATCAAGACTCTGAGCCGTCGGGTGTGAAGCCCAAGATGATCGACTTCAATGAGTTTAATGGGAAGCTGTTCGACATCCTGAGGGAATACAGGCTTATCTCTCGCAATGATCTCAAAGCAAAGCTCGGATTTATAGATCATTGGCACTGGCGAATCCTATCCCGGGCGCTTCGCAAGTTCGAGCGCATCGGGGTCTTGAAGCGTGTGAAAGCCTTGTCTCAGTATGCGCACACACTGAAAAAATTTCATCCATGTGTCATGCTCATCCGGGAACCTACGGAGAAAGACATGGAATTGTTCCATGAATTTAGTCGAAACATCTTGGCCAATCTAGACCAGGAAGACAACGTCGAAATAGAAGACGAAATGGACCAGGAAGATTCAACCCGAGGGTCGCAAGCCCCTCCGAATACCACTTTGGTGAAACGGGAGCAAGAGGTGGAAGACGCCGGTCGCATTCTCCCTTCTTGGAGCCCAGACCGCAACATCCATAATCTAATCTTCGAGACAATCGATAATGCGGGGACCGCGGGCCTCACCAACCAGGTAAGTCGAACCAAGGAAGCAAGGTACCTGAAAACTCACTAACACCATGAAAAGGGGATTATCAGGAACTGCTTCGGGTACTACTACCGCAGACCGCTCGAAAACGCAATCAGTCGACTTACAGATTGCTGGCAGCTGTCCCAGCCACTACACTTGCGCCATCTGGCTATAGTGCGCGACACGGCACTCGAACGAACCATTACACACTACGTTCATTACACCGCGTTAAGTTTCCAGGCCCTAGTCAACGCAGGGGATGCGCTCTGGGAGGCGGTCGAATTCCGTCCAAAGGATGCCAAGGACGATAAGATCCGACCGCCCCCTGTAAATGCCATGCCTCAGCTGGATCAATATGCATTACCCTTAGACCGTCCGGGAAAGGAGGTGCTAAAGGGCGGTGATGCTTCCCTCCTGGAATGTATCCTCGTGGCTAAGCCGCCAAACTATAATTGCTCGAGCCGTGACCCTGTGGCAGTGCGGCAACTGGATGGCAGCTATACAATCGAGCAGCGACTCAAGGGCGCTGCTGGCGTCGGGGCCAGCCCGCTACGCCCCAGGTCCACACCAGTTACCGTCAAAAAAGAATACGCCGATGTCTCTGGTGATGAGATAGTCGAGCTGAAGCCTGCTAGACCACGTCTCAAGAAGCATGATCCAGAGCGATACAAAGGCATGTCCGAGAAGGAAAGGCTGGAAGCGATGGGCTATGATGAGACATGGACAGATTACAGCGTCTTGCTCATAGAACGACCAAAGCCCGGCGTGTACGTTACTCCGCGTGGCCGACGAAGGGCGGCTGGCAATCGACAGGGACGTCCTCGTGCTAGCAGGATTGCTGTGTTCAAGTCTCCGAGACTGTCATCTTTCTCATGGTTCCGGAAGGATCCTCTTGACCTAGAAGGTGATACGGCAGTTCAGTCTGAAGTAACGCCCCAATCACCGCGTCCGGTTGAAACGCCTGCGCCCACGGTGGCTGATCCTGGCACGGCACTCGGCTCTCCAAAGCCTTCTACAGCTGATCAGGCGAGAGGAAGTAAGCGAAGCCGACAGCAGCGTGATTCGGATGCGACACCCGAATCAAGAATTGGCAGCGCACGGAAGCAAAGACGAGTCAACGTTGGAACCTCCGAAAATGGTGCATTGTCCGTCACTGCAAACAGTAGCAGTCCCTCGGTTCAAACCGAAGGAGGAAACAGTCCTGACAGTCAAATGAGCCCCGTCACAACAAATCAGCGCACGAAACGAAAGCGAGCCGTGTCTCCGAAAGATAGAGACCACGCGACGACCGGTCCTGCTGAAACCTCCAAGAGTGATCCTATCGTTGCGAGACGGCGTTCCCCGCGCAAGAATAATCCCGGGACAATTGCAAGCGAAGTTAGTCCGCTGCCAAAGAAACCCCGTGCAAATAATACCCTACGGAAATGGCTTGCAACTTCGCAAACACCAAAACGTACGACTGAGAATCACGCAGGTGCTGAGCAGGCACCAGACTCTCATACGACCTCCCAGGATACTGAGAAGACAAAGAGCGGTGAAATGGATACTTCTACCGACTCTAACACGGCAAGCACTACAAACGCGGCTGTACAGCCAACTGCCGATCAAGTCGAAGTCCCTTCACCTTCGGTATCTCAAGTTGCGCCGGAGGCAGAACAGGTGGAAACCCCAACGCAGCAAACAAAGGACAGTGACCGAAAACTCAGAGCAGGGAAAGGAGGATCCGTCGCCGTGCTTCGCCGGCAAATCGTTATGGATATCATCGACCAGGCTGGAGGAGCTTACCCAATGGGCACAGAACTTTGGTACCCATTTATGACTGCATGGCAAAGGACTCGCTACAAGGAGGTTCCCGATCTCCGTACGGTTAGAACAGTTGTGAAGGGACTGGTTGATGCTGGCAAGCTGAGCCAGTTAACGTTCAGTGGACGTGACAACAAAGGTGTCATGGTGACAAAGAACATTGTCTATAAAGTGGATATGCAGGCCGATGATCCTTTGATTGAAGATCTGCAAAAGAAGATGCTGGCGGCAGACCGGTATTACTTTCCTCCAAACGTTGATATCGATCCGGAGATCAAGAAGAACGGCAGCAAACGTAAGAAGATGGAAGGAAAGGAAGGCCGGCACACAAGTCACTTTCCCTTACTGCCTGACGAGCTTACAGTGCAACTGCATAAAAAGCCCGCGTCTGTCGTTGCGATAGAGAAAAGGCGAGATATGGCCATGCGGAGGGAACTGCTCGAACAACTGGCTATGGAGGAAGACTTCGATCCATTTAGCGGCTCAGAGATTGTTCGTCTCATGACATTCCGACGCCGGGCAGGAAAGAACGGGGCTCAGGGATTGACCTCCATCACCAGACCATATCCGCTGAGGATGACCAAGGAGGAGCGACAGCTGCACAGACGTCATGCATTAGCCGGGTTGGCTTCGATTCGCAAAATGCGGCGCCTTTGGTCGTCGCTTGCTCCGTACTCGATGCTTATGAACACCAGATCAACCTTCATACCCACTACCGGAACATTTTCGACCGAAGCCGGTATTCCGGCTCTCCAGGCCGCGAAAGACCGTGCCAGAGCAGCAGCAAGAAAGCATGTACTCATCCCTGCAACTGAGCTACCACACTCCTTGGAAGACATCCTTAAGTCTCAGAGGCACAGTTACGACTACTCTACAAGTGATGACCCGCGCGCACGCCAATTCTTTCATGAAACCAATACTATTTCTCGGTGGGAGATTGAGAATGAGGATTTACTTGCGCGCAAGAGCTCCGAAATCACATTCATCAATCAAACAGTACCGAACCTAGAAAGCTCCGGAATTGAAAGTGGTATCCGGTTTGATTTTGATGAGAGCTTCGGGGATATTATCACACCGCGACTTTCCGTGATTACTCGTCAGCGACGCCGACGATCAGAAGCTGCTTCAATGGCACCCCAGAACCGCCGAATAGCCAAGTGGGATGAGTCCATGGCCGTCGATGAAAATAAAGCGCTCATGTCAAGTCAGCAGCTCAACAACCGGAATACCATTCCGAAGAGAAACCGGGCACCATTGGCCCCCGAGATGGTTCGAAGAATCATGGTGGCATTTGCCGTTGTTCGAAGTCTGGCGGGAGGGTCGGATGCACGTCAGATTGACTGGACTCTTTTGTTCCATTGCTTTCCTGACATGGACCAGGATATTGTGGCTGAAAGAAGCCGTCTCGTTCTCAACAAATGCCGATTGCAAATCGTCAAGATGCAGAGTGACTTCCACGAGAGGTTTCTTGATGCTTATGCCAAAGATGAAGTGCCCCCCATCGACTACGATGATCTATATGGATACGACTGGGAAGGAGTAGTCGATTGGGCGATGCATCATCTAGAATTACCCAAGTCTGAGAAACTACCTGATCTACCCGCTACGAGAGAGCAGCTGGATAGCATGTTCGATGTGCGAGAAGAGCCAACCAATCCTTTGGACGAATTCTACCATGTTAGTCAGTCGATCACTGTTAGCCGCAAGCGGGCCTTAGCTGCCGCTGTTCCGTTTGCCATGCCCTTGAGCAACAAGGTGGCTCGGGCTCAGCCCCGGAAGGCCGAACTGGCCCGTTTGGATGTAGCCAAGACGTGGGTCCGAGCAAATGTCGTAACCCCCGATGAGACCTACCGTCCGGTGGAGGCACGGCAAAGCCTAGAACGATTTGGAGAGCCCTTGGTCCACCAGGCGCTGCAGTCGCTGGTTACAGAACGCGCTCTTAACATGGGCAATCGGGGTCGCATTACTCCCGGACGCAACTACGATGTCACAGAGTATTTCTTACTCGCCATCAGCAAGAAACGAGCCATTGAGAGTGTTCAACTGCGCCGCGCTCATAAATTTAAGACTGAGGTCTTGGATCCCGCTTTTCAAGACCAGGGACACGCTGAGATTGACTGGAACGCGGACGACGGCGACATACTCGTGGCTATCAACCTACTCTGGGCTGGTCGCGTGCTCCTGAAACCGCGTGACCCACCTCGCGACAAGTACGGTCTGACGGATGGTGGGTACCTGACTCGACAGATGGACAAGACGAAGCTTCGGTTTACGGTTGAGATCTGGCCGACGGATACCTATGTGTATGGGAACCCCGTGCAGGAAAAGGCCAGTACTCTAAAACCACCACGATTGCCTGAGGAGATTGATCCCGCGACGTCACTACCCGCGAAGGTTCCACTATGGTATGATATCCACGGAGACTTCGTGCGAGTTCTGTGGGATTTGGCCGTGGCATCGGTGGTGAGCTGCGTGGCGCAGAGGCCTGGAATCAGCGCTTCTAGCATTGCAGGGATGTTGAAGCCGACGATGGGAGGATGGGAGGTGCAGCTCTTATTGGAGTATATGAAGGAGATTGGGGCTATGAAGTTGGATTGGACGAGAACGGACAAAGCGCATGATGCGGAGGAGCCAGGCTGGCGGGTGGACGAATGGTGGTATATGGTGTTGGCTTAATTTAGGTGGAAGATCTAAGCTGTAACTATAGGGCGTTATCTTGGACTTGAATGAGAAAATGCTTTCTCTCGTGTGTTACCCTGCTCATAGTGTCTTGTCTTGTTCCATGTATAACTATTCCAAGCAATTTTTGTTGAAACAGCAACCAGTCTTTCACAATGACCAAATCTGGATTTTTTTTCCCAGAACTCTGGGACCTTCGTCAGAACTTCGCAACAGTAACAGCAGCATCACAACAAACAGCAGTCGGCAAACCAGCCATGCTCACCTGCTCGCTCATTCACTCAACATCAGAGAGCCACCAACAAACGCCACTACGCCTCACCTCAGAAGTGCCATGATCCCACCCTTTCTTATTGGAATTTTCACCCTCGTCATCATCCTCACCCTGTCACTTTACTATCGCCCTTTCACTTTCCCTTCCTCAACCCAGAGAACCCCATCACCACCACCTCCCCACAACTCCAACACCACCAGAAAAACCCAACAACCCGAACAACTACCACTGTCCCTGAAGAACCAGAACCAGAACCAGAACCAGAGAAAGAGCTCGAACCTCCCAAAATGACCCGCAAGAAGAAATCCAAAGCCCACAAGCTCAACCTCCAGCGCGGTTTTCCCCCCAAGAGACCAGCACCGCCGCAATCGCTCCCCCCACGACCACCAGGCCCGATCCCGTCCATCGAAACGCCCACCGGTCTGGCACTGGCTCGATCTCTGGTTCCAGCTCCAGCTCCAGCTCCCGCCACACCGGATAAGGCCCTCCCACCCCCCAAATCACGGTTCGGGTTCTCCTGGTGGCGGGACCAGAAGGGAGGCGAGATGTTGCGCGGTCAGCTTGCTCGGGGCAGTTGTGGTCAAATCCCTCCAGGAAGTAGTGATCCGATTCCTCAGGGCAGCTGTGGTCAGCGTGCTTACGGCAGGAGTGGCCAAATTCCTCAACGCAGCGATAGCTGGGTTGGAAGACCCGGGGAAGCATACCACGGCACCGGCTGCATCAAGCGCGAGGATGGGGGATATCGCGAATACGAGTACTTTACTCCCGCCTATCACACGGGGTATGCTGGTGGGTTGGGGGGTGTTCCGGACTATACCATGGGTTATAGAGGTGGCTTTGCGAATGGTATAATAGGCGATAGTGGTGGTCGTCATCATCACCATCAGCTTGGGGGGTTGGGGGTTGGTGTCAAGTCGGAGTATAACGGTGCGTCGTTTGGGGTAGATGCTGATGATGGGGGGAATTATGGCGAACCGTTTGGTGCAGACTATGCGGACGAGTATGGCACGGCATATGATACCTACCCCATGGCCGGGTACAGCGCAGAAGCAGGCTACCACCCAGCGTCCGCGACGTCTTACATCTCAGGGCATGGACCTGTCTCCTCCTCCACCCGTGACGCGATGTATCCTGGAATCATGAGCAGAGACGGCGGCGGTCCCGATTGCGGCGACAACGACCTCCAACCCATGAACCCTCGCCACCTGGACGAGACCAACAGCGTCAAGAGCACCACCCCCGACCTAGGTCGCGATTGTGTCTTCTGCGGCAGGAACGGGCATTCGACGGTGGCGTGTCCGGAACGGTGGGGGAATACTGATAACGGTCATACTGACTCGAAAACGGTGAGTTTTACCTTCTCCGCGTCTGCAACTAATCTACAACACGTCGAAAACATACTGATCCGATTGGTAGCAGACCCGCCAACCAGGTCATGAGAAGACAAGGACCAAGAGGAACAGGATGCGAACTATGCAGCGGAAACTCCGGCAGCACTCGGGGCGGGAGACCCAGAAGGAGGTGGAGGAGGAGCGGGAGAGGCTGGATGCTCTCCTTCGCGAGGCGCAGGAACTGGAGGAACGTGCTTCGCAGCTGCTGACTCGGGAAGAGCCGCCGGTGGATTTGGATGATATTCTACGCCGGATTATTGAGGATATGCGCTGATAGCTGATTGATTTTGTGCCCAAGAATCGAATGGTCAAAGATCGATTGTGATGTTCCATCTGATATGGTCTGTGTCTACTGGTGATATCAAATTGTAAGTAGTCGACATCCGAGTTTCGGGCAGGGAAGATACAAGTACAATACAAATCAACGCCCGAGTTTGAGTATTTTCCATAAACGCCGAAATATCCATCCGTGCTTTGTTTGAGAGAGGTTACTCGTCTCTGGCGAGGCGCCGGAGGATCATGACCACCAGGGCGACGATCACGCCGACGATGGCCCGGTCGAGCCAGGGGGTATCGGGGGATATTTGCTGTTGCTGTTGATGAGTTTGAGGTTGAGGTTGGAGCAGCATCTGGCGCTGCTGCGGCGTATGGTCAGGTTGCTGTTGCACAGCTGTTGGCTGTGTTGTCGTTGTTGATGGTGTCGATGCAGCAGCAGTTGTCCAGGTAGTAGTATGGATCTGTGCATCCCCTCTCCCAGACACCGCCGTATCAGACTTCAAAGACCCTATTGTCGAAGGTTCCTGATCTCCCTTCCTCTCCCCCTGCTCCTCCTCCTTCCCCAAATCTGCATTGTCGCCTTCACCCTCCGCACGTAAGTCTCCCCCCTCCTGCCTCTCCTCCCCGTCCCCCTCACCCTTCTTGTCCTCCTCATCCCCAAACTCAGAAACACTCACCCCCCTCTCCCGACAAAACTCCCACCACCCCTCCAGCACCTCCGCATTCGTCCTCCCCTCAACCCCCTCCACCCCCCCCTCCTCCCCTTCTTCCTCCCCAAATAATCTCCCCATACACCCCTCACACCTCCACCCCCTCGACGCAGCCGCATACCGCCTCCTTACCTCCTCCCCGACATCCAACCCGCCCACCTGCCCCCGCGCATCCCCATCCATAAAGCTCCGGAGGGCGATCAACGCCGTCCGGATGCCCCACGCCGGCTGCCACGTCTCCTCATGGTGCCCCGAGATGCTGAGGCAGATCTCGCGGTTGACCTCGAAGCGGCCGGAGGGGGTCAGGAACCGGAAGGAGGGCGGGCGCAGCGGGTACGTCGGCGGGAGCACGATCCGGCCATGGTAGATCCCGTCGCTGTAGGGGGACGGGGCCGGGGGGCCTTGCAGCGTGAAGTGCCAGTCGTACAGGTTGGAGGCGCTGATGGGCGCCGCGTGGAAGGTGGGGTCTGGGTTTTTGAGGAGGTCGGCTTGTTCGCGGGTTAGGCGGCGGAGGGAGGGGGTCATCTTTTTTTTGTGGATCTTGTGGGTGCGTGGGTGGGTTGGAGTGTGGTTCGGGGGTGTGGTTTGGAGGGATTGGTGGTGCGGGGGATGTTGGGGTGTGGTTCGGTGGTGGGTTTTTGGATGCGGTGGTGGTCGTGGTTGTAGTCGTGGCTGTGGTTGGTCAACAGTAGTTATATATAGTCAAGAGCTGAGTGTTGTATTCTTGCTTCGTGCTTGGTGGTTTCAGGGCAGAGACGTGGGTTGAGTTGCTGGGCGCATTGGATGATATGTACAGTGCTGTACTAGGTTCTGTGACAAGGCCGGCTTGAGTGACGTGTTTCCTTTGACGTCTGTTCGTCTTCGCCGATTGCAGTCCCCAGTAAAGCTGGGGGATGAAGGAATGAATTCGAGTCGAGTGGAAGTAGGGTTGTCGAGAAAGTGGCAGAAGAGTAGTATGTTGTAAGTCAGAGTCGTAGTCGTAGTGGTAATGAGGGGAATGAGGAGAGGCCAACTGGCCTGAGGTGTCAGTCTGGAATGTGGGCCAGGAACCATTGCGTAATCACAATGCATTCCTCACCACATAAAAATAGGAGTTCACAGACTTCACACCAGCCTCTACAAATACAACATCCTAATCGTGAGCCTGTCATATCTCATACTTATATATAGTTTTCCTAAGTGTACTGTACACCCCGTATATCAATCCCAGTTCCTCCATTCATCCTCTCCATGCAGTGCCGCCTCCTCATCACTATCCTCCCCGTGTCGCAGACGCGGTGACACCGGCCGCAACGTCTTCATCGACACACCGGTACTGGGTCTCTCAGGATCTCGAACTACATCCAACGGCTGCTGCGGCGTCCAGGTGACAGCCGGATTGGCAGCAGAAGTCGCGGCGTCCGGCCCCATCCAGCTCTGACTGTTGTTCATATTCCGTGTGTACAGATCCCGGTAATACTGCTGCTGGTCGGCCGCCTCCTGTTCCCGTCGCACCCGCACACCGTCGCGCGCCTCGAGGAACTTGGCGCTGGGCTCCCAGTGCCAACCGTCGCCGGTGGTGGTACACACGGGGACTGGCCACAGCAGCGGGCGGCTTCCGAACAGGTGCAACAGATTGCGCTTCCAGCCCAGATCGAACGCATGGGGCATCTTCTCGCTGTCCTGCTCTTCCAGATAACTCTGGTACCGATCATGCTCGCGCTGTCGTTCCATATCCGCATACGATCGCGTCAACGCCTGCTGCGCGGGGGACAGATCCTCCCTCCCCGAGGAGTGCTGCGTGGCGCCCGGCTGCGGAGGCCTGATCTCATCCTCCCCTTCCTCCGCCCTGGTCACCCCCGGGATCGCGTTGGCATGCGCATCCAGGATCTGTCCGCCATACTCCTGCAACCGGTGACCCAGACCCGCGACCCCCCCTTCCCCTCCAGCTCTATCCGGATCATGGCCTGCAAGCCCCTCGTAGCGATGGCGATCCAGCGCCTTCCGCAACGGCGAGACGTACCTCGTCTTCTCCAGACACTCAATCGTGGTGACCCCCCGGACCGCCAGACTGATATGCCACGCCGTGAAGCCCGACAACACCAACCCGATGATCCCGCCCAGCACGGCCAACAACACCACATTGATGGGCAGCATCTTGTCAAAGTCCATATACTTGCTGTCGTCCAGCATCTCGTTCCAGATCCACGTCGACGCAACCAGAAAGTCGACCCAGCAGAACACCGACGTGTATATCAGAAACAATAGGAACGCCTTGTAGTTGTAGAGCCCCACGCATGTCGCCAGCCAGGGACAGTGGTGGTCCATCTTCAGCACGCACCGCTTGCAGGTCGAGCAGTGGTGCGCCCGGTCGGGCTTGGGGCATTGGCACTTCTTGCAGAAGCGGGAGCCGCCTGTTGAGTTGACCGTGTAGGCCGTGTACTGCGGGAGTTCGGTGACGGGGAGGGCGCTGTATTCGTGCTGGCTGCGGCTGTTCGAAGGCTTGAGGGGGGTGCCGGGGTCAGTGAAGACGGCGACCGTGTAGCAGGTATTGAGGCAGATGTAGAGGAAGATTCCAAGGAAGGAGCTGGGAAGGCCTGGTCATGTAAGGAAGAGTCATTAGAGATGTACGGTAGCATTCCGGTAGGAGAAAGAGCCTCACCAATCCAGCTGCTCTGCACCGACTTGAAGCCGACACTGGCCTCCACCCAGACGGCCCACGTCGTCAGTCCATAAACAAAAGCGAGAGGGAAGAACGACGCCGCGGTGCAGCAGTAGCGTTCAATGCGCAGCGCCCAGGCCCGCGGCCGTCGCTTCGGCCACGACGGCGATAACGGCGGTGATGCTGCTAAGGTTGCCATGGTTCACAAAGTGGCCGGGGTCGAGCTGCCGATCGGTTCGTTCAGGGCGATCAAATCATGGCAGCCAGTCCCGGATAGAAGAAAAGAAGTACTCGAGTACGAGACAAGGAAGTTGAAACGCTGAGCGAAGCCAAGTAAGTGTGTATATATCTCAGCAGACAAGGCATCGAACGAGAAGTGAGACAGGGAAGATGTAGAGGAGGCCGTCGGCTGACGGATCATCGGCGGTGATTACGACGCTGCGGATGGTTACGGTACCGTACCGAGCGAGTCCCGATCTGTCACCGCCACATCCGGCAGATCACATGCCCACTATTAACATTACTACAGTAGATTGCTAGATTGTCAGATCGTGGCGCAGTCGCTCATAAGCCTTGTTGGCGTCCCATATAATAAATATAGGTCAATTATGTTCGTAATGCATTCGCTAGTCTACCAGAGATACTATATGAACATGATTCACTGCGGCACTGACATACAAAGCCAGGCCTGCGTCTTCTCCACTAACGCCGTTGAATAATGTACTGGAATGGGAAAATGTCAACCAAATCGCATAGAGGGATATTTAGATGTAAAACTCGTATGCCCAAAGATCCAAAATGCTGTATATCGAACACGCTTAAGAAGAATTCTCGTCGGTCGTGATGTTACCTTGCTCACACCAGTCCTTGATCGGCTAGAGGGTTATTAGTATGAAATGCACAAGACACATCTTGGAGAAAAGACTCACCAGACAACTGAGTCGGTAGCACCAGGAGCAGTTTGATTTCGGGTATTTGTAGAAATCGATGATGAGCAGGATGAACCCGATCAGCACGGCAACCAGGGCCCCCACACGCACCAACCACCATGCCCACCACAGAGGCTTTCGGCCGCGGAAAAAGTTCATGGGGTTCGATTTGCCCTCGGATGATTTCAGGCTGCGCTTGCCCTTGAGGAAGTCGACGATGCTGGGGGCAGGAACCACCTTCTGGCCTTCCTCTGGAGTGGCCGTGCCCACGCCACCGCTCATGGCCACATACGGGTTCCGTGCAAGTCCGATACGTTCTCGCAACGCGTTCGGCGATCTCAAGAGACACAGTCCCAGTGCCAGACCCATGGTGAAGCCGCCAATGTGTGAGAAGTTGTCCAGTCCTGGCAGCAGTCCCAGAACAAAAGACACGCCGATTCCTAGAACCATAATGATCAACTCGACCCACGGCGACTGGCGATCTTGCCAGCTGTATAATAGATCCAGTAGATCGAGTGCGAGAATGCCGAAAAGTGCTCCGGAGCAGCCGCATGATGCCTGACCCTGAGCGGCATAGTTGCCTCCGAGCACGAACCCCCAGATTCCACTCGCCAGATACACCAGAGCATACCGCCACCACCCAATCATTTTCTCCATGGCCACACCGATGGTCATCTGCGCAAGCAGATTGAAGCCGATGTGAATAAACCCGCTGTGAATGAACATTGGAATGATGAATCGGAACCATTGGTTTGGCTCAGGCTGGTCATCCAGCGATCCATTGGGCGTCGGGTTTGGCACACCGTTGAAACCACACAGTTCAGACAAGGTGCAGTGAGACTCGGTTGTCGTCGCGTTGGGACAGGGAAAGAGAATCGTTTCATTGGCATTCTGAATGCCCGGTGTATTCTTCATACAAGGAGTGTATCGAGATCCCATATAGATCTGAAGGTAGGGAGAAGGACCGATCATGACATTGAACGACGGTTTGGTTTCGATCGGGCTTCCCGTAAATTGAGCTGAGCCGGTCAGCATAATTCCTTTGGATCCTGATCCTATGAACCTACCGTTCTTGACCAACTCCACGATGAAGACAATGATCTGGATCAGAGTGAGAGTATAAGTGACCCAAGCGATCTTCCTTCCAAAGAAACCCTTCTTCTGTGTTCGTCGGGCGCCAGGGCGCATGGCAGGCTCGATCTCGTCCGGCGACGGCGGATAATGCGTTTGTTGTTGCATCCAATTCGCGGGCGGCGGAGGGCCATTTGGATACTGGTTGTTGGCCTTCAAGGGAATATTCTCGGCATACTGTTCGCCTTCGTTCACTCTGGCGCCGGCTGCATAGGCTCCCTGGTCGGAACCCAGTGATTGTTGACTGTAGTGAAGCTGAGGATCGGAAGTGGTGGGCTGATAAGGATGTGTATCGAAACCCGGATGGCCAGTTGCCGGATATTGAGGTAGGTTTGGATTGACCTGTTCGTAGGTTGGCGGATTGCTGCTGTAGCCACTCTGGTAGTAGCTGTTGGCCGCCATGTCGAATGGACAGCCGGACTGGCAACGGGCGCAAGGGGCGGGGGGTCAAGTGGTTGGCGGTTATTTGACTATTGCGACCGGAGGGCTGAGTTTCGGGGGAATAATATCGGTTGTTGCACCTTAAAACAAATTCGATCTGCAAGAGATGACGGTCGTTTGAGTCGATGCAGGATATTGACTGGGGTAAAGGAAGGCAAAACAATCAGCAGCAGGCAGGCAGGCAGGCAGGCAGGCAGGTGGGCAGGAATCACGGGCACGTTTGGCTATTAAACAAATGGACAGGGCTGAAACACTGATCAACAATGAGTTGTAACTTACTGCGTAAGTTTGGTTGGTTGTGACTTAAAGAGAAAAGGCAGGTCCAGGTTCTTTCCACTCCCCCCCTGAGCCGTCAATGAAAGCCGGCGGGAAAATCAGAAACAGTGACGGATCGCCCCCAACAGGCGCACTTGGTTTGCTATCCTGTCAACAATCCTTCCAAGGTTCTCGGACGGATGTGAAGAAATTGGGTCGACAAACCATCCAAATGACAAATGACAGGAGAGAAAATGAGAACGAAGGAGCAAAGACAACTTTGCAAGGGACAGGAAAGAAACAGTAATTTAGGCAGGCGTCATTTGGAGTGACTGTGAAAGTTCCTTTCCGATGGGCGCGCGCACCGCCGCCTATTTTTGGGCGGCGATCACCAAAAACCCATTGGAACTCATCATCGTCGTCAGCCAGAAGTGGTACGAGTACTCCGTATGCAGGCCAGATTCATTCATTACACACACGCAAGTCATCGCTGACTGCGGGCCACGCACACTGCTGGGGCCGGGCCAGTTAGGTGCTGGCCAGGCACGCTGTGGCGGAGTCTTCTTGGTTTTCCTCTACGATTCCCATTCGTCTACTCGTGCTATAGAACAGTGGCACGGCCGGTAAACCGTCGCGTCGTCGGCTTGGCACCTACAATACTCCGTACATATCTGGTGGCTGGTGTCCGCTCGAGCTTGACACTGCAAGCAGCCAAGAGGCTCGTGCGTAATTGGATTCTGTTCTGCGCGCAGCGCGCATACAACCAGTGCATCCCACAGGTTATATATGGGTTTGTTCATATTTCACATTAAGCATTATTTCACATCTAACAATACCCATTCGGTCCAATCCCACATGGTGGTCGCCTATACATCAATGTACGGTAGGGTTGAAGCTCATGTGCATGAGATCTCTTTTCCCTCGACCTTGGACCCAAAAAACCAAACAAAACCAGAAGATTGTACTCCCAGTGGACGGTCGACACGTACCAAGAAGTGTCAAGGTTGAGGGCCAAATCTCTCCATCATGTTCCGCCTGGGTTATCATCCTGCACGCTCGACACACGTGCTCACATTATTTAATCCGATGTCTTCCGTTCAATTCATTATGTTCGGACGGTGCACCCGCCGCTACCGATTGTATATCATATAATTCCCAAAACGCCGGTTTGAACTCCCAAATATGAAGCGAAGTTGGCACTCGGGGATCTGTCAGGGCTGTCAGCTTCGAACGCGGAATCGCGCAACTGCAGGTTTCGATCCTTCTCTTACCTTCCTTGTCGATCCCTGGTATCCTTATACCAAAATAGAGGTGCAGAAGCAAATCACACAAAGCAAGAGGGAAAGCGGAGGATCATAGCCATGACCCTCTGTATAACTTGATCGCGAATGAGGCGATTTCAGCTCGAAGGCATAGACATGGAGTTGACGTGAGAATCGATGATCCCCAAAGCAGCTCCCATTTCCTCTCCATTCTCACCAGTCAACAGCCAGATAAGACGGCTAGCCTTCTGGTATAGCAGCGCAGGGAAATAAACCAGCAGGGCCCAGAATAGAAGGGACAACACGACGATCACAAAGGTGTTAGCCACCAGCTTCTCTCCCGGCGTCATGACATACAGCCCGAATGTGACCTCATAGCGATAATATTCTAGCCGAATGCGATCGGTAATCCGCTGCAGGACGTTTCGGTGAGCTTTCTTCATGGACAGGTGGCTGACGGCGGAGGTTGAGGTCGACATTGTAGAGGAGTATTTGTTGATTAGCTCATCCACGGCCGCCGGCGCATGGGACGAGATGTGGGTGGAGGTGGAAGGGGTATAGAACGACTGCATTTCGGTTGCCATCGCTGCGCAGTTGCTGATATATACGTCGGAATGCCAAACTCAGGGGGATCGAGGTTTCCTTAAGAGGAGGTTCCGTTCCTTGCAATTCCTGGTCCGTAGCCTTGCCGATTGCACTCCCTTCCGTGACCAGCCGAGCAGGCGGGTAAACGGTCGTCAGAGATTTGGCGGTGCTGGTATATGATCTACGTTCGAGCTCGCGTTGCGCCGTTGACTTTACACCGTGGACAATCAGACACTCCTCCGAGCGCTACCGAGCACAGTTGACAGAGGAGCTCTGAGGTAGGAGCGTTGTTGAGCAGAGTTGGGTTGTGAGATCGACACCCGATCGCGAAAGTGCACAGATGCAGATCAGTTGAAGCTCCCCCAACAATGAAGTACAGGAATGAGATGGTGGTAACGGCAACGGAAACTAGAAAGAGCACCCAAGGAGGCAAGCCTGGAGAAGAAGACTATGAATACGAAGAGCTTGAGAGAGAAAGGGAGGAGGACAAATTAAGTAGAGAGAAGCGCAAGGTGTAAAGAGAGAAAGAGAGAAAGAAAGACTGAGCGAGCAATTGAAGGATCCGGGTTCGGTAGAGCGCGGATCAAGAAAAGCGGCCCGGACTTAATGATTGGAAGGACGAACGATTTCTCAGGCAATAGTCAGAGTTTCTAAACTTCTTAGACTGACTGTTGTTAGTCTAGTTCTTTCCGGGAGGAAGATGCTGGCTGATGCTAAGATAGCCAAGAGTCAATTAATCGTTAATCAAACCAGTCTCAGTGTCGTGGGGGGGCGCCTTTTTCAAGGAACGATACTCAGATCAGTAGTTGCTGAGAAATTAAACCTGCAGCGGGCGCCGCGAAGTGCCTGAGGCTTCGTGATGATTGGCCGCAAACGGCCTTCCAGCGTCATCGTCGGTCTCAAGTGGGCATTGTAAGGGAATTCCCGCCCGGGCTTTTCCCGCCCGGTCTTTGGTTCTTTGGATCTTTGGGTCTTTAGGTCTTTTGGGTCGTGACTCGTTTGGGTCTGCTAAGTTTTTTTCCTGGTTCAGTCCCAGAATTTACCTGAACTGGTTCAGAGTCAGTCAGTTAGTAGTCGTGAGAATTGAACACTTTTTTTTTTGGTTTTAAAAAAGTAAAGAAGTAGTGCCACTGTGAGTATGTTAGTCCAGGTCCGCGACTGACCCTTCGTCCAGTACGGTATTTGTAGTCCACCATGGGGGTAAAATCTGGAGGAGGAAGGGAGTCAATGTCAATCCATGCCATACCTTGCATGAATCAAGCCTAGCTACGTAGTAGTTGCTCATTACTCACAAATGATCGCTTACCAAGTAGTTATTTACCGTGACGACTTCCGGCAGCGTGCCTCTCTCCTCTCTCGGGAAACCGGCAAGCGGATGTGATATCCGACTGCTCGACCACTTTAGGTATTATTCCTCGCAGCCCTGAGCAAAGAATCATGAGATTGGAGTGGGACAGACTCCGCTTTTGTCGAGGCCTTGATGAATCACAATGAATGGAAGCGTCAAAGCCTGTTGATTGATGTATTCATCATATTCTGGATGAGTCGGTCACAAACGAGTCAAGGCGTCGCGACGCTCTGCTTCTAGCCTTGATTCTGAATCTACGAAGTATGCAGAATTTGTTATTGTTAGGCACATGACGAAAAGGAACGGGAGATCATCATGGGGACTTAGCGGAATGAATTGTCACTGTCTCTTTTGTGAAGGTGGCCTGGAGGACCCCTCGTTCCGTTTCACCGGGCAACAATGGGCGCCGGCAACTCAATTCCCCAACTTGAACCAGGCTGGGTAAGTAGTTATTGTTGGCATTGACAACTACAAGTCGATTGGCCGACTGGTGACAGTGATGAAGAGCTTGCACCTCATCTAGCACTCGGCTCTGACCTGGCTGTTCGAATTCATTGTCAGCTCGTGTCACCTCATCCATCATCCCTTCATCTGCAGTACCTTTGTGTACTGTACGTACTGCACACACGCCCATCGATGGGCTAACTAGCCCGGGTGATGTCATCCCCACCTATCGTTTCAACCGTCCCGCTTCGACTCCGTCGACAAACGTCCTTCCCCTCCTTTGCTGCATCGCATCTCACTCGAAGATCTCGCATAATCCATCACCGTTCCTTTCCCGCAAACCCTGTTTATCGCCATGGCTGAGGCAGACGATCCTCTCGTTCAAGCGTTGCCTCCTGCGACCGATTATCTGACCTACTTGACGTTGCTCGAATACCAATTGACCCCCGCCCGTCTGCCTACCCTGCATAAACTCCTCCAGGATGAGGTGCTGACGACCAATATCGGCTGGGACCTGGTCCAGCTGCTCATACCTATGCTACCTCAGTCTTTGGACTGTCTGCATGATATCGCTCGCCTGGGAAATCCTAGAGAGGTGATTCTACGGGTTTCGGATGCCTTGATGAAATTGCAACCCGCCGAGGATGAGAACGACGAGGTCGAACGAACAAATGCGGACTCAGAATCATCTCACCAGCACGGGGAGTCATCGCAAGATGTGATCAGCGAATCGGAGCCCAAATCGGACGACGAAGCGAAGCCCCTGCCTCGCCATATCCTACAATTCAACGCGCTCGTTTCCATGTTGTCGGTGTTGCACTCTCGCATTCAGACCAAGTCACCCAGTCGATTCCTGGCCACATCTCTGCAAGCCTTGCTCGAAGCATATACACTGATGCCCACGAGTGAAACTACAATTGCTTTGTTGGAATTCTTTCGGGATGTGTCGCCTTCGAAACGGCCGGCCCCGCCACCCCGGGCAGCCAGTGAATCCAGCGTGGTCCGCCTGTCTGAAGCTTCTGCGCCGGACCCGGAAGCTGAAGTTCAATCGCCGTCTCCGGCTACTGACAACGAGGCGGTCTTGGTCCAGAGGTTCCTACAGTTCGGTCTGCTTGAAGTTCTAAAATCGTACCTGCTCAGCTTTGCGGGCCCGCTTGACCCCGGAATGTCATGGACAATCCGGTTGCAAGAGAAACTTCATCCCGGATTGCGAATGGCCAGCCAACAGACGCAGACAGACATCTTTGCCCAAAGCAAACGACTGAAGGAGCGAGACTTAATCGTTGCCAAGATCACGGTACGGCCCGAGATCGAATCCTGGGGATCGTTGGTTGCTAACATTCATAGGCACTATCTCGCGACTTCGGTATTAGTGACAAGCAGCTGCTAGAAATCGCCTTGAAATCATCCGACGACCAGCCCCCGCCACTGGATTTCGATGAGCCGCCTCGCAAAGCGGACGAGATCCCTTTGGAAAGACATGGTTCCCTATTGCTCCTCGCAGCACGGGCAGCCTCGGCGGAATTGTTCTCCTCCGGCCGAGTCACCCCGACTGCTGTCTTCCCGGACCTGGCGCGCATTTTCCGCAACTTTGTTGGAGGATACAACTCGCCTGACGAGGTGGCCTTTGGGCAACCACAAGTGCTACTCGACTCACTACTTGCTTTGACTGTCTTCTCCATGCAGCAACCAATCCAGCCACCAGCCGCAGAAAAAGAGTTCATCGATTTCGTGCTATCCCTGACGGCATGTACTGCCCGGCAAAACTACAGTTCGGTTCGACGAATCCCGGGCACAGTTGTTCAGAGCAATCCCTCGCAGATCGCCCGCTTCAAACTAATCCGAACAGTTCTAGAGGATGATCGATTCCAGACTGTCAAAGACAGCGCCATTGCCTGGCTGAAAGACGGAATTTTGGAAGCATCCAAAGCTTCAGAGACCGATGTTCCGACTGAGTCAAGCATATTTCTTAACCCGCATTATTTCTCTGTGTTATTTCCCTCACTTTTCAACTCATCCGCCTTGCTTATGAATGTGTCATCGGACCTTGTGGCATCGTGGATCAAGTTCTCGCAAACCTTGACACCATCAATCCATGCGGCGCTCAGTTTGTACTACCTTGTCGTCTCGTCACCAAACCTACGCCGTCAATTGCAGCTGGAAAAGACCTACATATACTTCCGCAACCGCTTTTTGGAGCCGCTCAAATCCCTGTGCCATGCATTTGAGGCGGACCTCAAGGTCAACGGGGGTGAGGGCAAAATCGAAGCTGCGGTGGGTGAGGACCTGATGCAAATCGGAATGGCACGGTCGGTGGGCTTGGTTTCCCATGCATTGGAGCAGGTGGAAGAGGCGGTTGGGGAGGCGTTTGTGCTGAACAACTCGGAACTCCCTGAGCCCAGCGCTGATGATATAGCTCGGGTGGATATGATCCGAAAGGAAACCTCCCCTTAGGTCATCAGTAGTGTACATACTCACAGTATCGGATACGGCCGGAATATACGCCTCCGTATGTCTATAATCGGATCTTTGCTTGGTGATTTCTGCTCGACGCTCCCGGGCGAGGAGAATAGTGTATAGATGGATTCCATTATTCGCATGGGAGGTATTCCGTAGGAAGAAATGGACAAGGAGAAAGGTATAGGAGTAACGACGTAGAGGTCGATGCCATCTCGCTACTTTGGTGCGTTACCAGCCAGCCACGACGTGGCTTTGTGTGATGAGAGTAGTCGTCGCCCTTATCCAAGAGGTATTGGAATTATTGCAAGTCCATTCTTGCCCGAGCATTGGTGGACGGGGTTTGCTCAGTCCCTGCAGTGGGCTTCAGCTGGGCCGCATTGCACCACAAGTTGTCAGACCATCTTGGCTCATCACTCTAGTTAAGTTCTCCGGTGGGATTCCGTGCTTAGCTTCTTGTAGTCGACACGGTAGCGACCCGTAGACCTGCAGCGTATTCTTGGCCCGTGGTTTAGTGCAAGTTTCGGTAGTTCTGTTCTCGATCACCCAATCGTCTATAGTAGTGCCTTCGTTGAGTCCTTGTGAATTCCGACGCAGCGCTGGCTAGATAGCCCAAGGGGTGCAGAATGTCGAGACTGGTTGGAGGGGGAAATGAAGACAAGCAGCGGAGGAAAGGTGGTCGATCATCTCCATTGGTCGACGGCAGCCATCTTGATTAATACCTCATTTCCGGCCCAGGCAGGTCTTCCTCTTTTCCCTTCGTTCTTTCGCTGCGTCTCCCCACCAGCGAGGTAAGCGATTGCCCTTTTGACTCTTCCCCACCTCCTTCACAATATTCAGCAGCATCATCAAGGAATCCAGACTGACGGACTTGTGTCTAGCGTGCCACTAGTGGACCTCACTAACGCGGTTGCCGTGATGAATCGTCCACTTTGACTCCTTGACGGCCTGACCCCCCCGAGAAGAAAAGCCGTAACCGAGCCAGGGGCGGCGATTCTGCGGGGAAATCCAAGCCATCTCGTTGGAGGAAACGGACTTGGCTCCCCGGATTTGACCTCATCGGAGAAGCTGGTCTGCTGGTCACAGTGTGCAGAACGCCCGCGCAGGGGCTTATGCAGGTCACACCTCGTCCAACAAGGTACAAGCCAGCTGCCGACAAAGCGATTGGATGCCTGTGGCCAATGCATGTTCATATCCGCTTCACATGCAGTCGAGTCGAACTTCCCCCCCTCACCCGGTGCTGGACTGCTGCCTCATGCGGTCTATAAAAGGCAGTGACTTTCCCACTGTCTAGGGATTCTTTTTTGTCACTCCAGTCTCATCCTCTGTTCTACTCATAATCCCCGTGTTTCCCTTGCTTCGCCATGATCCGGCGCGTCTCCTATGCGCTTTGCGCGCTGGCTCTTAGCTCCTGGGCTGCTGCGGCCCCGCAGCTGAATGCTCGCGCTACAGGCAGTGTCGACTCCTGGTTCGCATCTGAGACCACGGTCGCCCTCGATGGCATTCTTGCCAACATCGGCGCGGACGGAGAGTTCTCCAAAAGTGCTAAGTCTGGCATCGTTATTGCTAGTCCAAGCACTGACAACCCGGACTGTGAGCAACTACTTTCTTCCTAGTTGTATGGCTGTCCGCTAACAAGGGGTGCGCAGACTACTACACCTGGACCCGTGACTCGGCTTTGACCATGAAGATCCTCGTTGATCTCTTCGTCAACGGTGAATCGAGTCTCCAGACGGTCATCGAGGAGTATATCAGTTCCCAGGCTTACCTGCAGACGGTTTCCAACCCGTCTGGTTCTCTCTCAGGTGGAGCAGGTCTTGGAGAACCGAAATTCAACGTTGACGAGACGGCGTACACTGGCAGCTGGGGCCGTCCCCAGCGGGATGGCCCTGCGTTGCGAGCGACCGCTCTGATTGGCTTTGGTAACTGGCTGATTGTAAGTTCTGTCGCCTAGTTTCTAATGACTTGACTGACTGACATACTCAGAACAATGGCTACTCCACCTACGCGACGAACATCATTTGGCCCATTGTTCGCAATGATCTGTCCTATGTTGCTCAGTACTGGAACCAGACTGGTTACGGTCAGTCATCACAAACCCTCCTTGCCTGACGATGACCGCTAACTTTAAAGTATACAGATCTGTGGGAGGAAGTTAATGGGTCTTCGTTCTTCACTGTTGCGGTCCAACATCGGGCACTTGTGGAAGGCAGCACTTTTGCTAAGAGTGTTGGCTCGTCTTGCAGTTGGTGCGATTCTCAGGCTCCGCAAATTTTGTGCTTCATGCAGAGCTTCTGGACTGGCTCCTACATGCTTGCCAACACCAACAGCGGCCGCAGTGGCAAGGACGCGAACACCGTGCTCGCCAGTATTCACACTTTTGACCCCGCCGCAGGCTGCGATGACACGACCTTCCAACCTTGCTCACCGCGTGCGCTGGCCAACCACAAGGTCTATACTGACTCTTTCCGCTCAGTCTACTCGCTCAATTCTGGCATTGCTGAGGGTACTGCGGTTGCAGTCGGCCGCTACCCCGAGGACTCGTACTACAACGGCAACCCTTGGTTTTTGACCACCCTTGCAGCTGCCGAGCAGTTGTACGATGCTATCTATCAGTGGAACCGTATTGGATCCATCACCATCACCAGCACGTCACTGGCCTTTTTCCAAGACCTGTACAGCTCCGCGGCGGTTGGAACCTACTCCTCTTCCAGCTCCGCATTTACCTCCATCATCAGCGCTGCCAAGACCTATGCTGATGGATACGTGAGCGTAGCTGTACGTCCTTCTTCCCTAAGTTTCAAAGTGCCTTACTGATGATATCTTGCAGGAGTCTCACGCTATGACCAATGGCTCCCTTTCCGAGCAGTACGATAAGACGTACGGTACCCAGCTCTCTGCCCGAGACCTGACCTGGTCCTATGCTGCGGTCCTGACGGCCAACTTGCGCCGCAACTCGGTTGTGCCTCCTTCCTGGGGAGAGACTAGCGCGAGTAGTGTCCCATCCGTGTGCTCTGCAACCTCTGCAACTGGTACCTACAGCACCGCTACCAACACTGCTTGGCCAAGCACCTTGACCAGCGGTAGCGCTGGCACTGGAACCACCACTACCACCACTAAGGCTGGCAGCGGTAGCACTACCACCACCACTACCACAAGCAAGACTTCAACAACAACCTCAGCCTGCTCCACTCCTACAAGTGTTGCAGTGACGTTTGATGTGATTGCTACCACCACCTACGGAGAGAACGTGTATATTTCCGGCTCCATCTCTCAGTTGGGCAGCTGGGACACCAGCAGTGCAATCGCACTGAGCGCCAGTCAGTACACCTCGAGCAACAATCTGTGGTATGCCACTATCAGCCTGCCCGCGGGTACTACCTTCCAGTACAAGTACATTCGCAAGGAGACAGATGGATCCATTACCTGGGAGAGCGACCCCAACCGGTCTTATACCGTTCCCTCGAGCTGTGGAGTGAGCAGTGCCACGGAGAGTGATACTTGGCGTTAGTCGAGCTTGAAGGAATCTTCGATTGTAGGGACCAACAAGCTTGTTCTCTATATATATAGCTTCAACAACGGCGGCCCGATGATTTCATCAGGGACTTAGTGTTAATCCTTTGTCAAATGCAATGTTCTAATCCTTGGACTTTGATCATGATTGAACTTCTCAACTGTTCTGACACCTTTCACTAGAAGGCGAAGTAATGCCAGCCTTTCTCTCGATTACTTTTGAGGGAAAAAAGAAATGCCACAACAACCCAAAGCACAGCCACCGGGGGGTATTTACCTTCAGGCACGTCCAGCCCGGATATTCTTAGCTATGAAACCAACAGCCTCAGGAGGCAAAGTATTCAGCAATCCGGTCAGAGCCCTCGCTCGGAAGATATTGCTCGAATATCGTGACTTGCCACTCCACAAATGAATCAAGATACGAGTTTCCTTTTCGAAGCGGTATGCATGAGGTGATATGTATGCAAACCCGCATGCAATGAGCAAGGCACCGCTCCGCATCTGATCTGTCCCATGGAACTACGATCCCGGTATTACCGTTTTGGACAAGATATTGCACTTATCTTACAGCCATGCATCAAAGCATTGCAATCGCCGCCCATACACCGACAATCCATGCAATTCAAGAGGAAGAGTGTGGCGCACCGTACGAGCTGGGGGCTGGGTCGAGACACAGCATATAAATGCAAGCACTCCCAACAGCATCTTGCGATCCCAGCTCTTGTCCGAACCATCACTTTTTTTGCCTTCTCTTTCTTGTAATCTTTTTCTCTTTCACCTTTGTTGATCTTCTTCGCTTGCAGTCTGCATCATTTCTTCTCACAATGGACAACTACCACGCCTGCTCCTCGGTAATCAGTGAGTTCGAAGCGCGCAAAGCCGGCGCCTTCACCTCTCTCCCCATCCGCGTGAACCGCTACAGCGAGGTTGCCACCAAAGCAGCCCAGGACTTTGTATGCAAGTGGAACTGCCATTTCGATGTCGGAACCAATTATCCCGGGTCGACATCGGCGACTCGCTTCGGACAGCGAGAGAACCCACTTGTCATGATCATCCCTGAGGCGCAGCCGGACAGACTGGCGACGGCGGCGTGTTTGGCTGAGATGGCGCGATTGCTTGATGGTAAAACCCCTCTCCTTTTCTGTCTTCTTCATGCCATGTATGCTGTATGGCGTTAGGAGGAAATGCTGATGGACTAGTAGACCTCTGCCATCGATTCGGAACCCATAATCGACACGAGGGCTTTGAGCTCTTGAACCGGTGCATCGAGCAATTCTCGGCCTCCTCGTCCTGCTCGTGCTCGGGATCGTGTGAGAAGAGTCTGGGAGGGGATCGTCCTCACCACCATCGCCACCACCACCATCATCGCCTGCAGCAGGTCATTTCGGAGATCTTCTCGGATGTTTGCCGGGCTGAGTGCGAGCACGGGGTGCATCTGCTCGAGGTGTATCGGAAGGCGATTGTTCGAGCTCCGACTCCACTGGACTGCAAGAAGAAGTTTGCTTTCGAGTAAGTGGATCAATTCCGCGAGGGTTGAATGTGTGATGACTGATGCGTTGTATAGAGCCTTCTGGCCGATCTTGGAATTCGCCATCGGTGTCCATCTCTCGCACGTGGACCACATGCTTCTCCACGAGATCAAGGACGTCGCGGACGAGTGTCTCGCCTTGAACGATGAGTACTGGAGCTGGACTGCGTGCGCAGATCATAAGGCCGGGCGCAATATCATCGACTGCTTTGTTCGCGTGGAGGGGTTATCTGTCGACGCAGCACGCGAGAAGGTCAGAAGAAATATTGTTGAGCTCGAGGGCCGTTTCCTGTCCCTCAAGGACCGATTCTCCTGGCAACACCCGACGGAGTCGATCCGCCTGCACCGCTGGATCGAGGCCGTGGGAGCGGCGATGGCCAGCTACAACTACTGGCGGGCGAATCAGTCGTCGCCTTGCTTCAGCAATACTAGCAACTGCGGCAAGCCCGACTGGACCAGCGCCTCGTCTACCACCACCCTCATCGATCGTCCTTGCTCTCCTCAACTCAGCTACCGACTCCACCACAGCAGTCTTGAGAGCAAGACCAACGACACCACCGTGCTGACCGCTCCGACCACCTACATCAGCTCCATCGCCTCCACCCCGACCACCGCAATCCTGAACATGCTCCCGGCAGCACTGAACTGCTGGGCCCGCGCGCCGGAACCCTCCCTCCAACACATCCAGACCATCTTCACCAACCTCCACAACGCCACCCTCGTCCTCTGGGACATCTTCACCGCGAGCACCACCCGCCACAGCAGCCCGGCCACCCACATCGTCTTCGGGACCGCACAGGCCACCAACAGCGCCTACTACGCCTTCACCCACGCCCTGCAATCCGTCCAGCACCACCCCCACCTTCTCAGCAACCCCCCGCAAGCCACCGCAATTCTAACCGAAGGCCTCACCAGACTCTTCACCGGCCAAAGCTGGGCCCTGAACTGGAAGTTCACGCACCACACCCCCACCGAGCTTGAATATCTAGGCCTAATCGACGACACCACGGGGGCACTCTTCTCCATCCTGGTCCGACTGCTGCAATCGCAGTCCCGGTGTGCCCCTCCCCCCCCATCCCCATGCCATCCCCACAGCAGCAGCGCCAGCGATCCCAAGTTCCTGAACCGCAGCGACTCCCTCCTCTACCTCACCAACCTTCTTGCGCGGTTCGTCCGCATTCGCGAGGAGTACCTCTTCTTCACCACCGAATCCTCCACCCCGACCAGCACCACTGCTGCCAACAAACATGGAATGGAAAGCACGATAGGAGGATACAGCTACTCGTACCCCATCATCCGACTCCTGAACACGCGGCCCGAGTGCCGTGCGCAGATCACCGCGCTGCTGTCCTCTTCTGCTGCGACTGCTGGTTCATCGTCCGCGGGTTCTTTCTCGGGCTGTTCATCCTCTCGCGGAGCCAGCCCCTCGCCGTGCGCCTGTCCTCCTTCCCCTACGTCTGCTGCTTCCTCTTGCTCCTGTCCCTCTTCAACGGGCATCAATCACGCCGGCCAGAGCTTCGGACCGTGCGGTAGCCCTGTCCCGCCGCCGATGAGTGTCCCAGGGCTGCTGCACCTGCTCCGCGATTCGGGGGTGTTGGCCGCCACCCGGGAATTTCTGCGGGATATGGAGGAGCAGATTGAGCGGGAGGTCGGGCGGCTGGAGGCCGGGGTGTTTGGCGGGGAGACGAATTCGTTGGTGCGGACGGTTGTGGGGCGGTTGAGTGTGCGGGGGGTGGTTTGATTTGATTCTAGAGTTGATGTTGGTATGTAGATAGGGGATTGACAGGTTTGCAAAGGAAGGCTTTGGGTGAAGGCCTTTGTGTTGGTGGGGAGGTGGGGTGAGGTATACTGTACTTGTTGTACTTGTGAGTGTATGTACTAGAACTGCAACAATAGTCCTGTATCCTGTTACTTGTGCCCCTTTCTCCGGAAGATACTGTTAAGCGTCTCTATATCAATTGACTAAGTCCTCAATCCCCTTGTCGCTCTGGTGAAAGCATACGCGGTTAATACTAGAAATCCACACGAGCCTGCCATCCCAACCCTCTCCACTCTCGCACCCGGCCATGCCTACTCCTGCCCCTACACCAACTCTTCCTCAAGAAGCCTGATAGCTCTCTCTCTCTCTCCGCCACGCAATCTAACAGTCAGGTCAAGTCCCATGCAAACCATCGTCGCGCTGTCGCAGCAACCCACCAATATTCCTTGCTACCATATAGTGACTCCCCCTCCGTACGAAGACAGTCCAAGCAAGAACCAAGCAGCCTGGAAACGGTCCAGTGCTTGGATGAGCTTAGCAGCCGGGGCAGGGAACACGAGCCACCGGTCCATTGGTGCACCAGACCAAAGCAACTTTGAACCTGAACTCGGATCCTCCTTCCCGAGAAGCGAGCGAGCGTTGGGGGCTTAGCTTGGCTCAAAGAACTCGTCTCGTGAGGCTCGTATAGCTTTTTTTCCAAAAGTACCCTAGTGCTCAGTACATGATCCAGCACTGGGACGGACTTGGTGAAAAGTCGGATACGGGGGGTAAAGAGGCGAGGACCTTGCAGTTCGTGAGGGTCGTTTGTGATCTGCGACGGCGACACGGTGGGGGTTTCCCTACCGGGCGTGTCTCTGTGCGGTGGACCCGTGTGCATCGTAATGGGGGATGGGAGTGTGGTTGGTGGAGATGATGGTCGTGGTGATTCTGGGAATTCTGGGAATAAATCTACACCTACACCTACACCTACGCCTACGCCAAGTCCGGGGAGTGTGGATTCCGGGGCGCAGGGGGTGGGGGCGTTTAGGCCTGGGTCTTGGGCGGTTGGGGTGCTGGGTGTGGGAGTGTGGGCTTTGGGATTGGGAATTGCATTGTTTGACTAAGCTGTTAACATTGGTTATTGTAAGGCAGTTGTGCTGTGGATTGTTGATTGAGAGTTGGGGATGGGGTACCGGTTGTTGGTTTGAAGTGGAATGGGACGAGAGTCTTTCCATGCTTTAGGCGGGAATTTGGTGGTTGATGGTTCCTGTGCGGTACTTGTCTTCCTGTTGCCTGATGCTTTCCCCTCGGACACCATGATCGAGAATCACGTGTATCTGAGCCTAAGACCTGGGTTCACTTGAGTAGCCAACTGAAATGACGGTTCTCTCTTCCTACAGGTAATATGTACCCAAGGTATGAGTGGACATAGAAGCCTTGGAGATCCTGGTTTTGCTTTTATAACAGTGCGTTATCAAGATCTGAACAGAGGTTTTGTAGGAGTTCGACTCAATTACACTAGACCTACAGCCTCATTCTACAACTTATCCAAACTCCACGAACACATTCAAGTGAGCCAGCCAACATATATTCCGAGAGACTATATCTAACCCAACTCACTCATCGTTAAGTATATTCAAAAAACCAAAAACCCAGCCCACGCACATCGTATCCAATTCAGAGAGGGTTTTCCAAGAAGTATAGACCAACCAGAATACACAAAGACCGCAACACGACTCTAGATAAACAAGAACCCAAATCTTCCCGATTCCCTCTCCTAATCTAAAGCCTTCCAGCCCCAAAAGCTCCCCCATCTCCCATCCAAGACACACGCAAGCGTAGTATATCATTTCTCGAACAAGGAAACCCCGAGGCGGAGTTGTAAAGAAAAAAGCGAAAGAATGGAATCCGGATAAGATGGTGATTGATCTCCCAGAGGTGGTTCCAGAGTCCCACACCTTCCCAAAGAAAGGTGGGAACCGACGTCGTGACTGGAACTTCAGGGAAATCTACTTTTGCCCTCCACTAGACCTGAACCCCGTTTAGGCGCAACGGCACCAGGACCGGCTGTTGTTTTTGGTGTTTTGTCGCGGGCCATAGGTTTTCGGGGACGACGAAAGCAGCGTGAGTTGAGTAGTTGGAGTTTATGATGAATCAAAATATATAGCGTTGATGTGTATGAGATAAGTCATGTTGCGGGTTGGGAAGGGGAATTCCTTATTCGAGATGGACAAAAGCTGAGAGATATTGGAATATTGATTCTGGACCGAAACGATAGATTGGTGCGTTCAGGTGGAAAGTGAGAGGAAGCTCCAGGCTATCTCAGGGGAGTCATTTACATGACAGTGCAGCCGCCGCCGGGGGAGGCGCCTATACTTGATATTAGCCAACGTTCTGAACCTTGTGACGTGGGATTAAGAAATAAGAATCAAAAGTGCAAAGCCATGACAAGGCAGCTCATGTGAGAGGACATACCGCGGGTGGTGGTTTCCTTGACAATCTCGACGGGGGCCATTTTGAATGATTGAAGTGATGATCGAAAGATCGAATTTGTTTTTGTTTTGCTTGTAATAAAACTTGCGGATGGAGAGAAAAAGAAGCAATCTTGGAGAGGATTCGAAGGGGTTTTTATAGATTTTCTGGCAGATATCAATTCGCAGACCTTGTGAATGAGAATCTGTACTCCATCTTTGATATCAAACAGGGGACCAATGGCAATTGAGAAAGTAGGAGGACGGTCTCGGCAGGTACGAATGAAAGGGCAGCCTAGGGCGAGGGATTCAGCCTCGTTCCTGTGATACTTTCTTTCTTCTTGTCGGTAAACTTCAGCATGCGTTCGAAAAAGCTTTCATGAAGGCATCACATGGGGACGAAGTAGAAAGAACGTTTTCGAGGCGACTGGGATGTATGGTTTGGGTCCGTTGAGGATGTCTGGTAGGACAGGGATTAGATCTTCATATTGTTCTAATAATGGGCCAATGACAGGGTTAGTGTCGGCATGTAGAATCGAGATAAGGATCGCACTGGCTTTTCGGTTCTGGAACCGAGGCTACATCTCGTTCTTTCTTCTTGTTTGACGTGCTGAATAAGGGAATGTGGAGAGACGGTGGCTGCACGAAGCCAGCGAGCGCTGTGGTTGGTCTTGAAGTGGTCGTAGTTGTGCCTGGACAAGTCTGGAGCAGTCGATTGTATGTATCCATATCAATGTGCCGTTGAAAACCATCGGCCGACAAACTGAATCTGACATGGATCATGGATCACCATGATTGTGGCAACCTCGTGGGGTTGAGTTTGCAAGTGCCACGCGTGGAGGAAATCGAGGAAATCCGGGACGGCGCCGAATCAGCATCCGTCCCTTCCTATTGTTCTTCAACAACAATACTAACCACCTTTTGCTTACAACTTTGGATCGGCCCACAAAACACAGAATAATAAAGAAACATCCAATTTCATTGCTGCTAAGCCATAACCAAAAGATTGAACGAGATTACTCCTTCAGGTGTAAATCGGCTCCGTCAATTCGTTCAGTGTCAGCCCTTCCTTGGCAACATCCTCCTCGATCAGGAACATCAAAGGCATTTCAACCAGCGTTCCCTTGACCTGACTGAGCAGCTCTTTCACCTGCTTGACACCCTCAGGGCCCGGAGGGAAGTCATCCCGTACCACATGTCCGTATTCGTACCGAGCAGGCTGGGAGTCGTCCTTGCCATATGCCTGCTTGTCTGCGTTGTGGAAGTAGTATCCATAGAATTCCTTGTAGGTGGCCCAGTTCCGGACTTGGTCATCAGGAACCGAGTGAAAGACCTTCCGGAACACCTCAGTGTTCGTTCTGGCCCGAGTATTCCACATGCTATGCATTGTGTCCGCCAATGGGTCGGCCACAATCTGGCTTTCTGGAGAGTCGGCATCGAATGTGTTTGGTACACCCACGGGCTCGAAGTTGGCGTCGGGACGTTCTGGATCCTGCGGTGGCAAGAGGCCAAGGTGCTTACGGAACAGGTATCTCCGGAGAGAAGCGGCAAATCGACTCGCGCTCCATGGCTGACCGTTCATGCGGGACTGAATAGGGGTGTAGTCTTCAATCACGATGGCAATCTCAGAGTCGTGATCACCCAGCTGGGAGCGATCGTTCAAGTTGGCAGATCCAACGATAGCAACCCGATCGTCGGCAATCATAACCTACACTTCCGTCAACTTGGGCGTTCACACAATCATAATTAACACTTACCTTGGAATGGATGTAAAGTTCTTCGGTGACAAATGCGTCGATTTCAGCCTCTGCAGGTCCTTCCCACGGCACGTTGCGGATATCTGTACCATTCAACATGTAACATTCGCTGACGCTATCCCACCGACCAGGGGCAGACTTGGTGCTAGAGACCTGTTGAGCAGCCTGCTGGTACTGTTGGTAAGGGGCGGTGGTGTCAAAGGCCGCGCGAGGAGCACCCGGTCCATAGCCACCCGGGCCAGCTGTGGTCAGGTCGTGCTCCTTGCGGGCTTCCTCGTAGTTCACACCACTCCTGTTCTCCGCCTCAAGCAATGGGCCGCTGACATTAATTCGGTCGTAGTTGCGCAGGTTGTAGAACCGGATGTAATCCATCGGGTTATATCCTTCTTTGGCAATCAGTTCCATGATACTACTGCCTCCACGGTTGATGCAGTTATACTGGAACTCCATGATGGCCCGAGTGCCCAGAGTAGATTCATCGCTCAGGTCTCCCGCAAAGCAGGGAACGGATGGAAGAACAACAACAATCTTGTACTTCTCGCCCGCTCGTGCAGCACGAAGAATACGCTCAACAATCGCGGCTCCGATCTTGTTCTGAACGGGCTTCTGAGCATCACCAGTTGCAGTAATGAAGAACTGGTTTTCGATGTAAACGAAATGCTGACTGTTACGGATGATAGCTGCGTACGCGTCGGCGATGGAATGCTCAGTAGGCGTTCCGTTGCTCCACTTGGAAGCACTGCGCACGATCTGACAAGTCATGTTCCCGCGTGGCTGAGCACCTGGACGATAGTTTATACGATCCTGGTAATGATGAATTTGGCCAGCCAGTTCACCACGAAGAACATTGCCGTAGCCTGTGAGGTTCTCCTTGATACCACGGAAGTTGAAACCTCTCTCGGAGTCGCCGTATGCATGACCTCCGCTGTGGTAGTCGTGGAGACCGCGGGTTTGCGAGTGCTGACCCTCTTGAGTAGGGGGAGGCGGGTAAGCCTGATTTTGACCTTGGCTTGGAGAGTATGACTGGTATTGAGATTGAGGTTGGGTCTGTTGGTGAGGATAAGCTTGACTCTGGGGCTGGTTGGGAGTCTGCTGTTGCGGGTATGCTTGACCTTGAGATTGTGTGTAGGTCTGCTGACTCTGAGGCTGGGTGGAAGTCTGCTGTTGAGAGTATGCTTGACCTTGAGGTTGTGTGTAGTTCTGCTGGTGAGAGTATGTCTGATCCTGAGGCTGGCCATAGCTCTGCTGCTGGGCTGATGTAGCGGCCTGGCTTGAAGGAGGCCCAGGGGGGGGCGGAGGGAACGAATCACCAGTGTAAGTATATTGGTGCTTCTCATCGTGACTTGGTGTATACGCCTGGTTCGGTGTGTAGGCGGGCGGAGCCTGTTGCTGCCAGTTGGAATCTGCCTGAGAGCTGGGGTGGGGCGAGGTAGCCTGGTAGCCACTTGGATGAGACTCGGGCTGTTGCTGCCAGCTTTGAGCATGCTGGATATTGCCAGAATAAGCACCAGCTTGAGGAGATGTGGGCTGCTGCTGCTGTTGCTGCCAACCAGGGGTGCTTGGAGTGGCAGGCTGAGCGCTACCGCCATAGGAAGCAGTCTGCTGAGGGCCTTGCTGCTGATGAGCTTGTTGCTGCCAGGTAGGGGTTGCCTGGCTGCCGGCGCCAGATGACTGAACATTGCTGGATTGTGCAGCGGGCTGGGGAGATGCGGCATGTTGTTGCCAGCTAGGAGTGGAAGGGCTTGGGCTGGTCGGCAGAGCCCCGGGCTGGGCCGTGAATGTCTGCTGCCAGCTAGGAGTGGAAGGTCCCTGGTTCGGCGCTGCAGGCTGCTGAGTTGGCCCCTGCTGCTGACCCTGCTGCTGACCCTGCTGCTGACCCTGCTGCTGACCCTGCTGCTGACCCTGCTGCTGACCCTGCTGCTGACCCTGCTGTTGGCCCTGCTGTTGGCCCTGCTGCTGACCTTGTTGGGGGCCCATAGAAGAGGTAGGTCGGCCGTACAAGTTCAGCTTTACGTATCTGGGGTTGTTGCGCGAGTAGTACTTGAGGTCATAGATGAAGTTCCAGCGCTCGACAAAGTGACGTCTCAGATCTTCGACGACCTGTCCATGCAAGCTGACTGAGATGTCTGACCAACCCATGCGGGAGGTCTTCTTCCGATCCAACTGATTCTTCTCCCAGTTGGCTACATCCTGGAAGTCAAGCACTCTAGCGTTATTGTAATCCTGACCAGGGAAGACAATTTCGTTCAAGTCCTGGCCATGAACATCGGCGAGGGCGTGCTGGTTGGTGTCCCAACGGCCGAAGCACATATCCAAGCCACCCATGAATGCCACGCGACCATCAATAAGGCAAAGCTTCTCGTGGTGGGCCCAGTAAAGGATGACATCTTCGTGCATACCATAAATTCCCTTGATGGTATCCGCGGACATCTTAGCCAGATTGCCTGCATCTAATGACAGGTTCTGAAGGGAAGATGCGATAGAAGCTTCCAGCTCCTGACGATCGGGGAGATGGTCGGGGTGACGGAACACCGAGATGTTCTGATGGAGATCCTCCAGATGATGCTTTGTGTGATGGGATGAAACTGTGATTCTGAGTTAGCTATGATGACCTAGCGTACGGTACCCGTTTGGAACATACGTGTCAATGCCTGAGTCACCTCCTTGTAGACAATAATGTTGACGCGAACGCCTCGCTGCGCAGCAGCCAGCAGCATCCGATCCAGTCGATACTGCTCGTTCTTTGCTGGAGGACGTCTCAGATAAAGTTCTGGCGACAGCCACCCTGGTTTTCACGTCAGTCAAACGTCCATCAACTCGCGACTGACACTTCCAGAAGCTTACAGTCCAAAATCCAGATATACTCCTTCGCACTCTCCAAGGCCTTGGAGACAGCATAGAAGTATGCACATCCATCAACATGCCATTTGACCTCATTGCCCTGACGTTCTGGTGCAAAACTCCCAAACCGGTTCTGCGTCTGTGGCTTGGTCGATCCATACTGCTCATAAGCCTGGGGGTCCAAGGCAGTTCCGATCTTCTGTGCGAACTCATTCCCGAGGTTCTCCAGTTTCCCGAACAATCCGGAGAGCTTGTCCTGCTTCTGGGGTTTCTGGGTTTGCTGGTGATAGGTGGACTGCTGGTGCTGGTACTGTTGCGGGCTGGTGTTTCCGTACGACGGCGGGTATTGCTGGGCGGAACCTTGGGTCTGAGACTGGGTTTGGTGGTACTGGCTCTGGCTCTGGGGTCAATAACTCAGTGGTCAGTACGTTGAAAACGGTGCCGTGCCTGAGATTCCTGATTTACCTGCTGTGAGTTGCTGGTACTGCCCTGCTGCTGATGGCTCTTGTAGGTTTCCTTCAATTTCTGAAAAGTGTCGCCGACAAATCCCCTCGCGGTATCGCCGGATGTGCCCCGCGCTGAGTCGCCGTAGTAGTGGCCATAGGCCAGGTCTTCCTCACGTTGGGACATGGGGACGACAGTTGAACCTGGATATGAGAGCAGGGTAGATGGTGTAACAATAGACAGAAATAAGGAAGAATGCTGACTGCCACGAGGGGGAAAGGATAGTTGTTATTATTATGTAGTCGCACGGAGGGTGGGGGAGGGTGGAGGGGGGAGGGGATCATCTGAGGCAGCCTGGAGGAATACAGAGTACGGTTTAGGGGAATACGGGGCTAAACCACGACGGTAAGACCGGCCCCGCCAGTCCAGCTTATCCACTTCCACTGCCTGGGTTGGTTTGTTTGTGTTCCCTTCTGCTCGGCCACTGTTGGGGGGTGGTATTTCACTGGTGCAAATGTTCTCTGCGCGCCATGGTGGCTATTTTTCGACATTATCTGTCTACACATTTTCCTGTCGCTGTCCTATGTTAACCACAAACATCGAGTGTTGCCTTGCAGGGCGGGGGCGATGCATCTCACCTTTCTAGATCGCTGCAGTGTGGCTGTGCCGGCAATCATGGCGGGGAATCCCCAGTTAGCTTGAAACAACAGCCGTACGGACCTTACCTGACAGCCTCTGATGACGCATGATACGGTGCTTCCAGCCCCTCTGTTGACTGTGGCTTATGTGGCTCTGCCACACCGCATCGCGCATCCTGAGCATTGCGTCGCGCAAGACCATTCAACATTTACGCTGAGAGCGCTAAGAATGTTGAGCTAGAACGCTCGAGTCCTGGGCGATCTTGGCACACGGGAATAACGCGGTCCTGTTGTCGCCAATCCTGAGACATGATCCACTTGCTTGGGTATAACGACAGTAGAATATGCGGTCATATACTCCTTAACGAGACCAAATCCAAATGTCTCACACTGTTCAAATGCAGCTTTCACAAAACTGAGCAGTGCTTTCTAAGATGATTTGATGCTGTGAATCCGCGACTATCCGACCATCTGCAAGTCGGACAACAACCAGCTTTCCGCGGTCGGATCCACTTCTTCATTAGCGCAAACTCCTTCGACCCTCATCGTTCTGGAGTGCACCGCCAGATTTTGCTCGAACTTCTCCGCAAGGTCTTCGCGATGAGGACCCCTCGAGGGCGCTAGATTGGATATATTGCTCAAGAAGTCTAGCAGGAAAAGGGTGTTGCATGCATGACATCGCACCCGATCTGTGGGCCAATTTTTGCTGAGCGTGGAGGGCTCATTTGCTATCAGGTGAAGTTGCAGTCCTGCCATTCGATGTCTGGACTAGTAGCAGTCAACTCTACCGGGAGAGGCAGAAGAATATAATGTGTTCCGTCTTGGGGAAGTAGCGAGCAAGAAGGATTATTCATTGAGCAATGAGGAAATGTACAAGGCATGCCAGAACAATGACCAAACCAGATTCTTGAAGATTTTCTCAGTATGTCTGGCATTTCAATCCCAGTATAAGGGGCTTGGAACAAGAAAGAGCACAGCTCACTGCAAAGGAGTTTCCGATGATATCCGGGGCTTTGGGGCACTGTTAAACGTACATTTGTCGGGGTCTTTTTGTTGAATATTGTGCAAGATATATTCTCATTATTGTTCATCAGGACCCAAATTGAAAGCAAGAGTCTACTGAGGGAAAGTAGGTGCTAGTGACCCAGAACATAAAGTACTCAAATTTTGCGACTTGTGGCAGCAAAAGGGCACCCAAAAGGTAACACACATTGAGAATGGCGTCATTGTTTCGATTGCACCTCGGTATCGTCGGATGGAGAGCAACCCCGCACCGGTATGGAACAGCAAACGCTGTTGAATTTCTTCAGGTGTAATTCGGATCAACGTCTCTGACAAGGAGATACAAAAACAAAAATATCAAGATGGCTAGCTGTAATACAAAAGTCCAGATATAACCACGGTGTAGATAAGATCTTCGCTGTCATGTCGTGTCAAAACCTAAAGTTCTCCCTGGAATAGCAGCAAGCGCTGCCCCTCACTGACAAGCCCCCGCAGCAGACGGACCCCGCACCGCAGTTGGAGAACGCAGCGCAGCAACAATTATTTAAGAATGACATCGGCCCATATCTTGACAACTTGCTGTGTTATCCTGCCCTGCTACCATTGACCCTCTGAGACCTATCCCCAAAGAACCTCATCTAATCAGTCGTGACCCCAAACTAACATCACAATGTCTCTCGCGACCCTCGACGTGAGTAAGCCCGGACAGAACCGACGACGTCGATGACGTTCGTTCCACCAAGGAAGCCATTCCCGCACGTACTAATCACCGGCGCATCACCAGGTTTCCCAGCACCCCTACCTCCCCTCCGCCTCCGAGACGCTGTTCAAGGCCAAGGCATCCAAGAAGCTGAGCTTCGAGCAGATCGCCGAGCACATCGGTCGCAACGAGGTTGCCGCGGCCGCCCTTTTCTACGGCCAGGCCAAGGCATCCCCCGAAGACATCGACAAGCTGTCCGCCCTCCTGGACATTCCCCGCGACCGTCTGGAAGAGCAGCTCAGCGGCTTCCCGGATCGCGGCCGCTCGGTCGAGATGCCGCCCAAGGAGCCGCTGATCTACCGACTGTATGAGATTGTGCAGAACTACGGGTACGCGTACAAGGCTGTTCTGAACGAGAAGTTTGGGGATGGGATCATGAGCGCCATCTCGTTTTCGACTAAGGTCGAGAAGGAGACGGACGAGGCCGGAAACAACTGGGCTGTTATCACGTTGAGAGGAAAATGGTTTGTTGAATGGATTGTGCAATTCTTGCATGAGACTTGCTAACTGAAACTACGATAGGTTGCCTTTCTCGCGGTTCTAGGTATGATTATGTGAGTTTAGGGAGGCGGTAGTGATTGAAATGCATGTAAATAGTATTTGAAAGAGATGCGATTGTTCATCTGTTCCTGCGCATGACTTTCATTTCTATGTATGTGTAGTGGTAATGCGCAAAGTGAAGAATTCACAGCCGGCGTCGAACAACACTGGGCACCTACCTTCACCCGCCAGATTGGGCGTGTGCTGTAGTGAAGTGAGGATGGTCTATATAACACGCATTCCTTGCGCATCCACCCCATTGACTGACCCACCTTGCAACTTCCTCAACCTTCTGTCCTGATCCCTCCAGATGCCTCATTCCTTTCATCTGTCATCTTTGTTCCTACTCCTATCTTATTAGATAGTGATATCAAAGATCTCACTTTAAACTCTCGACTCCTTGTCTACGGGCATTGTGGCCTACCTTCCCATCTTCCTCTTTCGAACTCGGTGTGTTCTCAGAAGTATCCAGAATGTCCGCTCGTCCAGATCACCAGGCAGGTCCCTCCAAGGTGGCCAGCGCCAGCACCGGCCGTTACGGTGTCACTCGCTCAGGAGCAGGCCCCGTCAATGCAGGCCGTGTTACTGCTGGACCTTCTCGCACAGGAGGCCCTGATGATGGTCGTCCCATCAAAGGTGGCCCTCGCGCTGGTCCTGCTCCTGTAGTGAAACCCGGTGGAAAGCCCAGTAGGTCAGGTCCATCGCAAACAAACCAGCCAGGGGCTGAATCATCTCACACAGGTCCCTCTGCTGCAGCCAAACCCTTGACTCCTCGTCGTTTTGTCCCAGAACCCTCTCGCGCAAAGCCTCCTGCTGCGAAACCTACCAGCGCAATAGGTCGCCCAGCTGCAGGCTCTACCACCAGAGGCCGTGACCCCACCAGTCGTCCCATCGCCGAGCCTGCCTCCACACAACTTCCTACCACCCAACCGTCTGCCAAAGTCGAAACTGCAGCAACACCCTCAAGCGCAAAACCTCCCGAGCCCACCAGAGTCTCCTGCACGTACGCCAAGTGCGGCAAGCACTTCCCCAGCAAACGAGACATGGACATTCACAAGATCACCGAGCACGAGTACTGCGAGCGGTGCGACGAGGATTTCCCGGATGAAGAACGCTTGCTGCTCCACAAGATCACCAGCGTCAAGCACATCGTGTGCCCCGTCTGCGGCCTGGAATTCCGCAGCTCGGGGGGCCGGGACGTCCACATTCGTCAGGTAAGTGACAAGAAAAGCTTCCGGCCATGAAAGAGCGAGAACGAGGCAGCCCAAGCACTGACACAAGCCTTATCGGCAACAGAACCATCGAGCCGAACAGACCATCAAATGTCGCGGCTGCACCACCACCTTCAAATCCGCCAGCGCGCTGATGCAGCACATCGAGAGCAACGGATGTCGCAGAATCCCACGGGAGCGCCTGCTCCAGCAGCAGGAAACCCGCCTGATGATCGCCGAGATCCTGGACGGCGACCGGCCCATCCGGCCCGAGGATATCGACAACGACGACGGCGGTGTCATGCTGGATGGGACTCCGCTGAAGTCTCCCGTCAGCCCCAAGAGGGGCTCAAAGAACAAAACCCCCGAGGCGGGATCGCCCACCAGGACCCCACCCAGCCCTAGTGCAGGAATGGCGGCGTTGGACTCTCCCTGCCCGCGACATCAGCTGCAGGAGCAGCAGGGTATCCCCTCCTCGCCCTCTAACATGACAGAGAAGAGCATGGCGACCGCGATGTCGCGACTCTCGCTGAACGAGGCCGACGCCGACGCCAGCGACCGTGCGCTCGTCCCGCTGCCCACAGCCACCGAGCTCGAACAAGACCAGACAATGGAGTGGAGCCTGTTCGGCAAGCCGGTCGCCTCGGCCGGCGAGATCCTCCAGAAGATCACCCCGGGCTGGGACTCGAGCAAGTTCCTGAACATGTGCCGCACACGCTACGTCTGTCACTGCCGTGTGAGCTACAAGCGGGTGGAGGATTTCGAGACGCACATCATCGAGGAGATGCGTGATAAGAAACCACTGGGGTGAGTGAGATCTTATCTTTCTCTCCCCTTCACCCCACCCTGTCCCTTTGCTGGGACAAGACTAACCACTCCGGCACCAACAGATGTCCCCGATGCTTCCGCAACTTCAAACGCTCGTCGGACCTCGTCGCGCATATGGAGACCGGAAGCACTCGCTGCAGCGTGGCCTCCGGGTCCGCCTACCATCAGGTCCTGGATCAGTTGACCGGCGGGGTGGTCCGCGTCGCCGGCACACTCCAGGATGGCACTATCAGGTATGAAGCCGGCAACGTGGAGCCGCTGTACGAGCCGGACAACGAGACGACTCTTGCTGGGATCGATACGAGCTACACATTCAAGAGCCCCGTCTGGTGATCATGGCGGGTGGTTTGAATTGTAGTTTGCGCTGTCCATTATTTATTCTCAGGACGCTTGCACTCGGAGGGAGAGTTGGGTCTGGAATTGACACTTTGCGCTGTTGTTTTCTCATTTCTGATTTCCACTTGGTCTTGTTTCCCGCCCCATCCTGATATGCATTTACAAAATCATTAGCATGTATCTCATTTGCAGTCTGTCTTTCATCTGCTTATTTCGCATCGGTTCCTTATCTCCTTTGTCTTTCAATATCTCATCACCTCAGCAAAAAAAAAAAAAAACATCTACTCTCCACGGCACCCGCATACCTACAGCACAGCATATCTACAGCAGTACTTAGTGACCCCAAACAACCCAATCAAATCTCCCTCCGAGCCAAACCCCAACAAAAGTGCGAATAGCATAAAAGATATCTCTCATAACCCATATCGAACGTGTAAAAAAAACAGGTGGGGGTATAAACATCAACACCACAGGAACCTCAACAACAACAACAACAACCTGTATATCCAACCCGAGCGCAACCTCGATCCCCGCCCGCTAGCCTTCCCTTCGTCAATTTCATCGAATCATTGTCTATCGCATCGAACACCCTCTCATCTCGCGCATATCGAAGACAATCCCACCCCTCTCGGCCCCGTCGAATCCCCAAAGCTCCTCAAATCTAGCAACACTCCTCACAGCACTCGAAGCACATCAATCCCGCGCACCTATTTCCAACAGCGTTAGCTTTCGTTTCAGTGGCTCGTCCAGGCCTCAGGCTGTTCTGATGGGAGAGGGGAAAGGGAAACGTACACGCCACAGCACACGCCGCCGGCACCGCCGCCGCGGAGGTTCATGTGCATTTGTTCTTGGGTGGACTGCAGACCATAGTTGTCATTAGCTTGGTTTTCTGGGAGTGGATCATGGGCTGCGCGATGCGGGGAAAGAGACAGGCGCAAGGACAAGGGCAAGAGCAAGGACAAGGGCAAGAGCAAGGACAAGGGCAAAGGAAAGGGCAAAGGAAAGGGCAACAACGCACGGGCTGCTCGGTGACGACGCGCTCGGTGGACGGAGCCTGGGGGCTCGAGGGCTGCTGCATGGTCATCATGGTGGCCGTGTTGGGGTTCCAGGTGGGCGCGCCGGCCTCGGCGGGGGTGGATTCTTTGGTGGACTTGAAGAGGTTGAACATTTTGATCCGGAGGGCGGGGGTTTGGTTTAGTGGTGGGAGGTGTAGGAATTGTACTTTGTAGGTTTCTTGTCAATAGTCTGTAGAGATAAACACAGAGAGAGAGTGTGTGTGAGTGAGTGTGAGATGAGATGGGGATAAGCTGACACGGGCACTGCAAGGGTATTTATGTTGGAGACTCTTTCAAGGTTCACTGTCAATGGTCTGTCTAGGTAGGTTAGTTTCAATGGGTCAGGGGTCCGTCTCCAGCCCTGGAGGGCGGGCCCAGGGACTCCACGGTGTCGCGGGCAGTAGTTGAGCGTATCGAGTACAGTACGGTACCGGTACAGATCCTTCGTACTGTGCCCGAAACAGCCAGTCACAGCCACGAGATGCTCCACGTCAGCGGCTCAGCCCTGCCGCGCTTGCGTTTCTATCGGTGGGGCAGGGCAGGGCAGGGCACTGCACTTTTTCAGGCAATGTCATGGGATTCGTACGGAATCCCCAGCACCAGCATCTAACGATGCTTCCTCTCTAAACTTAGAAATCAATTACTGAACTATGAGTATCCAGCCAGTCCGCCCGAAGGAGAGACCATGCATCAACGCTAGTACCAGATGATCATGCACTGAAATTACTAGGTACACACACACACACACCTCCCACCTGCATTTGACCAGAACAACAGCCGATCACTCCCTCCTCCTCCCGCCAAAACTCTACCCGATTCGCAGCCAACCATCCAAGCTCCACTCTCCTCAACCGCCAAGACCGCCAACCCCCCCCCTTCTTCGGATCAACGAGGCCAGGCCAGGAAAATAAATCAGGCTGCCTAGCCTCAATTTTTCGCCCGTATTCGTTTTTGTTTTCCCCCGCCGCCCGGGCTTTTCCGCCGAGCGATGCCAAGAACCACTATTGCCGGTCCTAAGCAAAACTCCCCCCCCGTCAAGCTTCCGAGGTTGATGAAAAGCTTTTCGTGGGATATTCTTGGGGGGGCACGTCGTGCAAACAACGAACGTGCTATTCTTAGCAAAAGTGATGATTGAAGGGTGCCTATCCTGTGGCTGAAGGGTTCCTGAAACCACTTTCTTAAATGATGGTGGAATCATTCGAGAATCCCCCCCCCCCCAAAAAATGAACCCCGGATCAGCAGAACCGAATGGATCCGTCCCCTTGCATTGCTTTCTCTCTGGGTGACTGGGCGACTGGACCCTCTGGAGGCAGAAACATTTCCCCCTCCCTGCTACGCGATCATTGGTTGCGCATGGTTGAACCCTCAAATTACCGTTGCGGTGACCCCGAGCTCTAAAGAACTAGCCCTGGAAAAATTTGACTATGGTGAATCTCAGGGCCTAAGTTAATGAACCCAAAGTGACCGACCCCGTCGAGGCAACCATCGGTAATTCGGCTATTTTTCGCTCCCAGTTTTGGGAATTGGATAGGCTCTCGTCGCTCTCTAACGTGTGGCTGTGTGCCTCGGGGCGCGGCCTCGGAGTCAAAGCCACACACCGCTTGCGCGGCAAACCTGCTTGATACGTACGGCAAAGAAAGTCTCCCTTTGGCGCCCAGGGTTCTGGGTTTCGGGATATTGGGTGTAAATTAGGAAGAGTGGGAAAGTTGACCATCACAACCAACTGCAAAACTGCTATGTAGCGCCTTGAAAACCGAGATGCTAGCCGTTGTCACCCCGAATGCGACAACGGACATTAGCGCGGTTGGGGCCGGAAGCCGCGCGCCAGACTCATGTCTGTGGATGAAACACCAGTCCTCTATCGACTGGTCTGGATTCTGCCAGTCATCATCTCTCAATCAGGGGATCATCGGCATTGCCATGTCAATCGTAGTCACCCGCTGCGGAGATGACACATATCCTGTCTCAGGCATCTGTCGAGTGGTGCAACCCGGGCACGCTGACGACCACCGGCTCTGCTCCTAGATACAAAGCGAGAAATTGTGTTCCAATTAAAACATTAACCAACCTCAATCCTGGTATACCATAAATTTAGACCATCTCTGCTCAAATATTAAGATCCGAAAGCCAACGTTCTTTCCACTGTTGCAGCCACGTCTTGAACAGCTTGATATCAACAGGCCCGATCTTGCCCATGACTGCACTATGAGCAATGGCGTTTGTCGTCTCAAGAGGTGCGGCATTGGCACCCTGCTGATCGAGCAGACTCCTGAAAAACCCCAGCAAAGGAACAGCCGGCAGACCTTCGAGACGTTCGCGACTTGCATCATCCGAGATTTGTTGCAATTCATTGATCCATTCTTCAAGCGAAACCACCTCGGCTTTACACGCCCTAGCCACCAAGGGAGCAAACAACTCCCAATCTTTTGGCTCGGGGTTGACGATGTGGTACACCCTGAGGCCGGTAAGATCCTGCTTCTCATAGCGGCATTGAACGATCTGCACAATAGCTTGAGCAGCTAGGTCCTGCATATCACCAGAATGTCAGCAGCGGCCAATTGTGTAAAGACACTCGAGGTGTGTCACTCGTCAGCTCAACAACTTACAATTGGGATCCAGTTGACCTTCATTGCTCCCAAAGAATCTGGAATCTTGCCGGTGGTGATTGATGAGCAGACCATCGCCGGAAACCAGTCCCGCGAGGTCCACATTCCTCCTTTGGGGGATGACGGACCGCCCAACTGGCCGATACGGTGGATGCTGATAGGAAGGTTGCTGCGCTGGGCTGCGATTTCGCAAAGTGACTCAGCGACATATTTCGACTCGGCATACCCCATTTCTTGCACCACGGAGGCGTCATGCAGTATTTCAGGAATTGTTGATCCATGCGACGCTTGCCATGCCCCAACCGTCGACACAGATGACATATAGTGCAGGTGAGCCCGACGAGGGGATTCCTCAACCAGGCTCAGAAGGCGTCGCAGCCCCGTAAGCATAGGACTCTCGAAGGCTTTCAAGGGTTTATGGAAATCGACGGGCCAGGCGTTGTGGATGTAGACGTCCGCTGTGTCCCGCAGATGACGATTTTGAGCAGGTGTTAACCCCAGCATGTCATCGCCTAGGCTGATCTGCCAGAAGTGAACCCGTGAGGCTTTTGTAAGCCATCCATCTGACAAGCCCCTTTCCTGGAAGCTATTCACCTGTCGATCAGCTGCATCGGCGCTACGGTTGAGACAGTATATATCTGCGACCGACGGAATCTGCAACAACTGATGGAGCAGGCGACTCCCAAGATCACCCGTCGAGCCCGTTAGCACTACCGTGATACCGCCGTGGCCAAGATGCTGAGAGTGATTCCAAATAGAATGGACAAGTTGATCCGTTCGCGTCCATTGAGAATTTGGATTGCTTTTGCTAGACTTATCATCACCAACATGTCGACTGAGTCTGTCGGCAAGAGCCTGGACGGAGCCTGCTTGGTAAATTTCGTTGCTTGACCAAGTCAGAGGTTTCCCAGAAGGGTGTAGTTTCTTCGATGCATGCTGCAACATCCTCGACAATTCAGTCACCTGCAGTGAGTCGATCCCGCTATTGACTAGGTCATCGTTTTCGCAAACGTCCTTCAAACGGAGTCGCTGGGAGAATACTTGTAAGAGCCATTCCTGGAACGCGTCCCGATCCGAGCCCTCAGGAACTGCTCCATCATTGGTATCGTGCGCGTTAGAATTGTTAGAGTCTTCAGGCTCATACAATGAGTCCAGCACGGATTTGTAATCATGTGCAATTTCGCGACGGCGCAATGACCCCTTTGGGGACCGAGCAAATGGTTTATCGGAAGACGTTAGAGCTATGTGGGTGTCAAAAATCCGTGCGTAAGCGGGGAGTGCTTCATTAGCCTCATCCAGAAGTGACCCAAGCTGCTGTCGGAGCCATTCCTCAGTCCAGTCCTCGGGAAGATCATCCCACTGGGGTTCCAGAAGCAACGCGGCTTGATGGCGGTCCTGGCCAAAGACCGCCGCGCGGCTGATCAGCTTGTGGCTCTCGAGGATCTTCTCAGCTTCGATAGGATTGAATTTCTCTCCGTTGCCCATGACAATTATGTCGTCGCCTCTGCCGTTGAAATGCCAAAGACCAGATTTCGTTGGATGAGGTGTGAGAAGATCGCCCGTGCGGTACTCAGACAGATCTGGATAGGAATAAAAGATTCCGTGGTATTTGCGTGACTCGGGCCTGGGAATCACCAGCTCAAAGAGTCCTTTCTCGACTTCGTCCATCCTCACCCCAAAAGCGGGAACCCATTCGAGATAATCCCAATCGTCTGGATCCTCGCAGAGCAAGGCGGGCGTCCATCCCGTCTCGGTACTCCCAAGCATAGTCTGTAGACGTGCGAGCGATGACAATTGTTTCCCAGCGGATTGTGACATTGGTGCGCCGCCGAAGCCCACGTACTCAAATTGCGAAAGTGCGTCCCGGCCGCTTTCATGTCCTCCGAGGTCTTCAAGTACAGGTGCAGCTAGCAATGTCCGTTTGGGGTGATGGGCAGACACGATCTGTGCAAACAGATCAGGGTCCAATGGGCGGTCAGGTGCGAGGACAAATGGGGCCCTAAAATAGATACACTCTGTGATGCAGACCAGGCCGAGGAAATGGAACATAGGGCCGTAGTGAAATCTTAGTCTCCCAGTCGCTCGCAGATGACCCTGAGCGAGCTTTCGTCCCTCCGGCACAGGGATGGTCTGGATATTCTCAAGAGCGGCGAGGTAACCGTGCGGTATGTTGATAACCTTGGGTTTTCCCGTTGTTCCAGAACTATGCAAGATGACCGGGGTTATATCCTCGACGGCGGCGAAATCGTGCTCGTGCTCGTAAGGGTAGTTGTCGCTGGGTGCATCCTGGAAGACTTCCCAGAGTGACGGCATACTCCATTTCTGGAACCCCTCTGAGCGATTGCTCTTGACTTTGTCCAGCATCTGTCGCAACTGCTGCTTGTTGCTGGCGTCGACCATCACCAAACAATCTGTGGCGTCGAGCAGATGCTGAAATGCGGAATGGGAGTTTCGAGTGGAGAGCAGCAATGCCTTTGGAGAATGAGCCTTCTGATTATGGGAGGAATCACGCTTTACGAACCGTATTCCCTGTTTTCATGCACGCCAATATGAACGCTGCGTATCGCAAATCATTGCTACCTATATAGGCGAGGACATGTCGCTTCTTCTTGGCCCTATCGCCCAGCTGCTGGTCAATCCAGAATGCAACGCGATTGACAGCGTAGGCTAGGTCCCGGTAGGAGATGTTTCGCCAACCATCTGCTGAGTTTATTGAAACCGGATGGATGCAGAACAGTTCTTCTGGCCGAGTTTCTGCTACCTCATCCACCACCTGGTGTAGGAGCCGGCCTGGAGTAGCTTCTGATCCCATTTTCGATATACCGAGAAGATAATGTTAAAACAAGGTACTACAACATGATATGAGAAGGATATCCGAAGGCTGGATACAAAGCGGTTATATGCACAATTGCCATTTGCGCAAAAGTGACGGCATTGTAGCCTGCAGTGCGCGACACATTCCTCATGGCGTATCAGCTGTGCGCAAGGGGCAAACTTTGCCAATATCAGGGACAACACGAGCTGTCTCTGATTGCTGTTTTCTCGCAGCTGCATTAAGATATGACACCTGCTGGCAAGGTCTCGACGTCATCAAAGTCTAAATTCAGGGTCCATCCGCTGCTGACAAGCGTCTGACTGGATGGTGATTATATTCGCGGCAATAATGGTCCTGCCGAATACTGAGTCGCTGGTTTCGCAGAAGCTTGGACTAGACCATTCGGAAGTCCCATTGGTTTTCTTCTGTGGTACTCTTAGGAGCCGCTCCAAGGAAAACCGTCAGAGATTAATCTAGTTGCAAGGTTTCGGTCACGGTTCGGAGCCGGTAGGTCAGGGACTTCGCATACCACGTACCACGGGTTGTGTATTTGATTTCCATCTCATCAGTAAGAATTCATCTCACCACAGCAGCTCTGTCATGTTGCCAATTTCCCGATTGATCGAATGAGAGAGATTGAAAGGGAAGGGTGCAGAATATCCGATGCAATGATATCAGGTGGTTGATGTAGTAGATTCCGAGAATAGGAAGGATGACCGCATTCCAATCCAGATAGCATTCCGTGGTTTTCTGCAGGTTCTCTCCGCGCTTGCCCGATACGGTATACAGCTAACAAGAACCGCCATTAATGGCAATGCATCCTCAAGATGCGAGATCTGATGAAGAGATAGATGCTGGTACGTTGTCGAATGGCAAACGGAACAGTCCCAGTGCAGGGGGGCCCAAGCCGTAAACATTTCGAAACTACGCACTCGCATTCCAAAAAAGAATAGAAAAAACCAAATTGTCCTCAATTCATAGTAAAAGTAAACGCCCACATAATTCGTCATCCCAAGAACACAAAAGCTGGCAGGAAACAGGTATTGACTTGGTGTCACCAACGGGAGGGCCCAACCACCATTGCAGGAACCATTTCAAGCTCTCTGTATCCTCATTTCGCATGTCATACAGTTTGGTCGAGCTGACAACAAGATTTTGGCCATCGAAATAGGCCTCCAGGACTCGAAGTTGTTGGGGATACATGAGGGAATACAGTATCACCTGCAAAAAGAGGACTGAATTAGCACGATGCTGTCCACCTGCTCCCAAAGCACGATTATGCCATGCGAATATATCACCATCTGTTTCGGAAGGAAGAAAAGAGAACAGGAACTGACCGGAGCTACTTTATGAGGCAGAGTAGACTTGAAGCTCAGCCGGTTGATCATCGAATTGATGATGGTGATGAGTTCACCCCGAAGAAGCCGCTCATCCCCCGCAACCTCGCTTCTCACAAGACGTTTGAAGTGAGGCGGCGATGGTTTGCTTTCTTCGGCGGACCGCGCAACATGGGTGAGAGACGTCCGCCACGAGTGGTCGTGGACACTGGGAAGTTCGTATAGGCCCTTCAGGCGGAGATCTGACCTTCTGGAGAAAGGAAGAGACGGGCGAGCGCACATCAGTGGAAAGTCACCAGGCTGAAGAAAGGCAGGGCTTACTCTTTGTGTACAAAATTCGGAAGCTTGTTTTCGTCCGCTGGCCATGCGCTACCGAGGTACCTATTCAAATGATATTGGAGTCCCATCGTGTTCAGTCGGTCCTCCGACTTGGGATTATAGGTAGGATACTCTGAATCCTCCTCATCGGGCGGGAACCAGCATTCCTCCTCTTTGACCGAACCAAAAAAATACAGAGGCTTTGTTTAAGTTTCTAAACACATGGAGCGGTGTTGAATGCCCACGTTTTCGGCATCGTGTGCGTCAATATGGTCGGTCTGCAGCCGGCAAAGTCTATCCTTGAAGAAATCGAGCTGATAGCGGCAGTGTTTGCGAAATTCAAGAACCGTTTCTTGATCATAATCTTGGGTGACCATATCCATATTTCAAGCTAATAATGAGGACAACCAGGTCGACCTAATGACTGCCAGGACCCAGTGAAGGGAAGTGGGGAGGGAGGTGTAGTTTGAGCAAAGGAACGGAGCCCAAGGGGGGAGGCATTAAGGCATAACCAACGCCAAGGCGGCAGGACCGCGCTGCATGGAAGAAGTATTAAGACCATGCAAATGGTCTCAATTGTTGTAAGAGTTTATTTGAGTATTGATCTCAAGTTCAGAAATGGTTTTTTTTATTTTTGTTGTTGAATTCTATAAGTCTCGGATGTTCTTGTCAACCCCGACCATGATCCAGATCTCTGTTCTTTGGATCAGTGGAAATCAAGAGCAAAAAGGTCCCGAGAAGATCAGAACACCAAAAGACAGCAAGCCTCGCCCGAATACCGACAATCCCGACAATACCAAACTCCAAGCCCCCTCAAGTCTGACAGCAGCTTAGAAGCCACCTCCACCCTTACAGCCCGGAACACTAAAAACCTTGGTCAACCAAAGCACCATATCGAGCGGCCACCAGAGCGAGGTCACAAGAATCGCATTCGGCCAGGCATTGTCCAGTTTGTTGAGGTTAAGCGGGGGATTCCACTCGATGAAAATACTCAAGAAATGACTCAAGAACAGCCTCACCAGAAACAAGATCAACCAGGTCGACCTAACGACTGCCAGGACCCAGTGATGGGCAACAAAGTGGTCGATGCCCGCGAGCCACCCCAGAAACCCGGCGAGGTAGGCGATGCGCTCCCGGTTCCTGTAGCATTCGTCGTGGGGCTCCAAGCCTTTATCATTGTCCCGTATGGTGGTGAGAACAATGGCGTACACGAAGAGCCCTACTATGGCGAGTAAGTACGTGCTGATGCATGCCGGGATCCAGAAGTCTGCGCTGCCTAGCTGGGACACGCAATCCAGACACCCGCGCCTGATCCGGAACCGGCAACGGCGGTGGTTCTGCCTGGCACTGGGATTGCCATCGCTGGTGGTGGTCGGTTGGGGCTGCTCCTCGATGCTTTCCACGGCGATGGGCTCAACTGAGATCGAATTGATCGTAGGTTGAGTGCCCATGCGGTTGTATTGAGGTGGGTTGGTGGAGTGGTATGAGGGCGGAGGGGGGTACTGAATAGCTGCTCCAAGATCGGGAACTGAGGAAGTCTCGTCGGGCGTCTGGGTAAGAGACCCAGTCAGCTGCTCGGGGAAGTCATCTGGAGCTTCAGCGGTGACTGGAGCATCATTGGCAGGCATCTTCTGAGCTTGAGAAGACATCATGTACTGCAAACACGGCACGAGATTATGAAACTGGATAATAAAGTATCGGTGTCAGATCTCGTGAATGCTGCACAGAAACGATGCTGTGGGTGGTAGATACCAATTTCTTCGGATGGCAGGAGAAGTAGAGGCTTTTTGATCGAGACTCGACCCTCCGTGTCGACCCTCCGTGGGAGTATCCATGATATAAGGAGTCATTTATCTTCGATCGGTTTTCCGGGAAAAATTCCGACTGATACGGCTATAATCCTATGGTAGGGAGGTGAGGAGTCGTCTTGCTTGTAAGGCATTGTTTGTGGCTTTGAGGCAGTGACAACGAAGTTCGTGATAAGCCCCGTTTGTATTGTTGCACGGTGCCCGATAATGAGATTGCCCAATAGTACGAAGTAGAAATGAAGGTAGTGTATAATGATTTTAAAGGAACTTATTTCTAGGAGGACCAAAGCTGAGGTCTGCTGTGAGTACAATTGAAAAGACTAGAACTTCATTTGTCCATCTGTGCTTTGCTTTGTTAGCTTGATAATTTACCCCCATCTCTTTCAATCGACTAACTCCATTCATTTGCAAGTATCAAAGGATTGTCCCGGCTTCCTTCACTTGTTCACGATCAAAGAAAAACTACCATGCAGCAATGAAAGCGACAATCAATCCATGGCAACAAATTACCCACATAGTCCAAGCCCCACTCACTGTGTGCCTCTACCAAATCTCTCAATTCACGATGCGATCCAAGCAACCTGGGATGCTATAGACGCCCGAGGACCAGAGGTATGCATCGATCGGATACCAGAAAAAGGTGACGATCTTCAACAGAAACGAAAATGCTGACAGCCAAAGCAAGCCCCGGGGAAAACCCGCGGCATAAGGATCACGGTGGCCGCCATAGCGGTAAATGAGAAAAGGTACACCGTGCAGAAATGCCCACATTGACTTGAGGACGGCAAGCAGCCAGTGATGAGCATACCAATGGTCGGCTCCCAGATAACCCAGGCTGAAAGCCAAGCTAAGCGCCGTGTCGTGCTGATTTGAGCACTGGTCCTCCAGCGAGCGGCCTTCGTTGGTGTCATTGTCGCGCTTGCTTTCAATGTAGACGACGAGGTTCATGAAGCCTATGGCCGCGACAAGCATTATGATTGTGCAGGTCCTGCACCTGAAGATTCATTTGTCGTATACATCATCTCGGCGACGGAGAGGACGAGGGTAATGTCTGACTTCGTAAATTAGAAGTACAGGGAGGGGCTGTTCTTCGACGTCCGTAGCAGCGGCTGACACCTTGGTGGGAAGGCTACATGGAGGCGAAGTATTGGTGGGTTCATGCTCATAGGCAGGCGGTAGATCCATCGGGATTTCGAGAGGTGAGGGAGAATCAGTCAGAGCCTCATGAGGAACTGGCAAAGCTTCCTCAGAGACCTCAGAAACTCCGACTAAGAATTGCGAAGACTCAGTTCGAATCCGGGAGGTCAACGAAGAATCCATTGAGGATTCCGGAAAGTCAGATTGGGTTGTAAACGAAGAAGTCATGATGCACTGCCCTCAGATGTCGCCCAAGTTGCGTCAAACCCAAAGTCCCAAGGCCAATGGAAGCGATACTAGTGCTGATAGCAATGGCAAGCTATGTTGAAAGTGGGCGCAGCTTTTATGTTGAGGGGATCGGCATGTCTTCGAGGTGAAAACTTCTTCGTATCTGGCGGGAGAAGCGGGTGAAAGCATCTGTCAACTAACGCATCCTTGTAAGAGAGACCTTGCTCATCGTCTGGGCCACCAAGCATTCCTGGACTAAATGGCTACATTGCTGGTCAGCGTTGCACTTCGCTGTTCTCCTCATTTGCTGCGGTGGATAATGGATTTGACAGGTTTCATTTGTTGTCTGAAACAATGACTACGGGGACATGGCATAGCCTCGTAACCAGCAGTAAACAGGCAAGGGTTTTTGCCTGTGACGTGACCTGTATACGTCAAAGAAGCAACGACTTTCAAAGAAAATCGCGCATCTTCGAAGACGAAGGACTGATCAACTAAGATGTATGTTCGGTATTGGTGGAGAGACCGAAGGGACCTACCGTACCACACTCGTACAAACTTGGAGCTTTGACAAATCATCTTGAAACATGCAAAGTGAATGATCACTATAGTATGATCTATCGGCCGATGAGCAGGAAGGAAGTCGAGGATTCTGATTCTCTGCGCGGTACGGCGAGAACGTGCCTCGACGTCGTCACGATGATGAGTAGGCGTTGAGCTGCGAGCATCTGTCCAGATCGACTAGTGCTTCACTCGGGCACAGCAGGCGTTTGTCAAGCAAACGCATTGGTGCAACCATCCGGTTGAGTAATTCGAAAAACTGGATGTCGAGTGTCTCAGTTCTCCTCACTTGGCGCCATATTGACGAGGCAATGTTTCGGCAAGCGGCATCGATGAGTCACCAGATCTAACTACAAGATCAGTTGCGAGACTATTAGGGAGAGGAAGGGGTCAGTTGGGCAGGATCAAGTGCTCCATTTGCGAGCAACATACCACACTATTGGCAGCGATGAGACATTGGTCTGTGATCCTTGTCGTTGGCAATTGATGGCAGTGCACCTTTCACAAGTGCAAAAAAATAGACCCATAGCTGCTCTGAGGTTGCGAGTAGGCACCCATTAGTTGCTTGCGTCGATCTTCCAAGAGATTCCGCCAAGGAAACAGGATAGGTGATGGATAGATGCTCTACTCGAAGAGAGTGAGGTGTTGTGGTATCGGAACCGCTTAAGGTACTAGGTAGACGGACAACCTTACCGCATTAGTGTCCGCTTAGGCTAAGCACTGCAGCAGTACGTACTGCAGCAGTAGGTACAGTACCCCACTCACCACCCGCCCGCTAAGCACAGCGTTATCGCAAGTGGGGCCTCCACATTCCCTACCTAGTAAGTTCTTCTCTCCTCACCCACCACCATCTTTCCTCCCTCCCTCCCTCCCTCCCACACCTCATCCTCCCTCTACACCTACCAACCAAGCCCCAAAACACCACAGCAATGCCCCCTCAACCACCAATTCCAGTTCAAATCCTCGACGGCGGCCTGGGTACCACCCTCCAAGACCACCACGCGACAACCTTCAACTCAACCACCACCCCGCTCTGGTCCTCGCACCTCCTGATCTCCTCCCCGCCGACCCTCCTCGCCTGCCAGCGCTCCTTCATCGAAGCCGGCAGCGACGTCCTCCTGACGGCCACCTACCAAGTCTCCATCGAGGGGTTCGCGCGCACCAAGACCCCCGACCACCCCGACGGGATCCCCCGCGATGCGATCGCGCCGTACATCCGCACGGGCTTGTCCGTCGCAGCCGACGCCGTCCGCGGCTCCAACGCTAAGGTTGCGCTGAGCCTGGGTCCGTACGGGGCGTGCATGATCCCCGGACAGGAGTATAGTGGGGCGTATGATGCGGAGCATGATGACGAGGAGAGTCTGTTTCGGTGGCATTTGAAGAGGTTGCGGTTGATTGTGGAGGCGGTGCAGCAAGACGGTGGAAGATTGGAGGACAAGGTGCAGTATGTGGCATTTGAGACGGTGCCGCGCTTGGATGAGGTGCGCGCGGTGCGCCGGGCGGCGCGGGAGGCCGGGCTGGAGGCGATGGAGATCCCGTTCTGGGTCGTTTGCGTTTTCCCCGTCGAGGGGCAGGATGCCTTGCCCGATGGGAGTGCGGTGGAGGCTGTCGTGGAGGCGGCGTTGGGTGGGTCTGAGCCTAAGCCTTGGGGTATTGGGATGAACTGCACCAAGGTGCATCGCTTGGGCCGGTTGGTGAAGTTGTTCGGGGAGGGTGTGGAGAAGGTTCTGGGTGAGGAGGGGGCGCAGACGAAGCCTGCGTTGGTGTTGTATCCCGATGGGACGCAGGGGGAGGTCTACAATACCACCACCCAGGTGTGGGAGAAGAAGGTCGAAGGACCTGGTGCCGCCGATTCGGTATGTCTTTCTCTTCCCCCTTTGCATGCTTTTGAATGTGCTCTTTCGGACCTTCAAGTGGCCACACTTGACTTTCGGGAGAGCTTTTATGTTGCGCATGTGTACTAACGATGAACAGCGTCCGTGGGAAGTTCAACTTGCAGATGTCGTCAGCGACGCTCGTGCCGGCGGCCACTTCAGCTCGATCCTCGTGGGTGGGTGCTGCAAAGCTTCGCATCATGACATCGCCAAGCTCCGACAACAGTTTCAATCATAACCGACCACCTCATTTGTACAAACAACTTGAAAGACACTACGCGAAAATGATACCAATTATAGTCGAGTGACACTGTGTATCCTAGGATAGATCCAAAAAGTGTTTAAAAAAAATCTAGTGGGTATCACCGTCTAGGTATATACAAGTCTATATACAAGAGCATGTGTATGTACTCAGAAGATCCAGTCAACAAAGCGCTTGAGTGGCGTCCGAGGTCCGTGGTCTTTAACAATGATCTCACCCTCTAAGAGGCGACCAGACCAGAGATCCAGGGTAGATGCGCGGACAAACTAAAGCAACCTATCAGCGTCTGCATCACAAAACAAGAGGAATAGCATGGGACTAACCTTGCTTTTCTTGAAGATCTTCCAAAGGATGATTGGCACAATGAAGATCGGAATACCGACATACGAGGCGAAAAAGTCCGAGGTAGACCAGTTCCCCTTGAGGAAGACAGGGAATCCAGCCACAAGAGTAATGATGGTGGATCCGATGAATCCCACCCACGCGGTGTAGGGCTGGAATGGGCCCTGCCAAGGGAGGGTATCGCGACTATGGCCTTGGACCTTCATCGCCCGATGGAAGCGGATATAACAGAAGCTGAGAGTCGCCCAAGCAATTAAGCCGGCGATCGTGCTCAGGTTAAGGAGCCAGGTGAAGGCTTGAGAAGGACCACCACTTCCGAGACCTAAGCAAATTTTGGGTTAGATGAATATCTTGACAATGAAATAGGAAGGATGCTTACTCAGATACGCCAAAGGACCGAAGAGCCAGGAGACGACCACCGCAATATACGGAACACCTTTCTTGGTGACCTTGCCGAAAAACTGAGGAAGTTGGCGATCGGTGGTCATGGCTACGATCATGCGTGAGCCGACCCAGCAGTAGGAGTTACCAGCTGACCAGGCGGAGATCAAGACACAGGCGTTCACGACCGAGGGGAGACCACTGATGCCGGCTTGCTTGATGGCAATAACCCAGGGAGAGCTATTGGCATTGCCAGAGCCGGATGTGAGGCCAGAGGTCCGGGGATCGACAATCATTCCAATGAGCAGGGCTCCGAGGATGTAGAAGAAGGCAATGCGGTAGGTGACGCGACGGGCAGCCTTGGGGATGGCGCGGTGCGGGTCCATAGCTTCGGCGGCGGCAATGACGACAGTCTCGACTCCGACGAAACTGAAAGAGGCGTTGACGAAAGCCGACAAGAATCCCAGAAAGTGCCCAGTTGGTCCAGTAATGCCATTGTAGTTGGTCCAGGGACCAGGGTTGTGCCAGTAGCGGAAGCCGATGGTCTCGTGGTTCGGGCCGCCGCCTGCAGTGATCACGATGGCCACGATCACCAAGCCCAGAAAACACAGGACTTTTATGGCACCTGTCACGACTTCACTCTCGCCATAGAAACGGACACTCATCAGATTGATGATTAAGATCAGTGCCAACCCGACTGTTATCACCACGGCCGGTGTTATGTCTGACCAGTAGCTCACCACGACCGCGGCCGCGGAGACCTCCGAAGCAATGGCGATGGTGTAACAGTATCCGTAAGTGATGGCGAGAGAGAAACCGACGGCGGGATCGATGAACCGAGTAGCCCAGTGGGGGAAGGAGCCTGCAGTAGGAAAGACGGTCGCCAGTTCGGCGATGCTTTGCATGACACACCACAGCACAAACCCCACGACAATATATGCCAACAACAAACCGGCGGGCCCTGATTTCGCATAGGCAGAGCCGGCTCCAACGAAGAGACCAGTTCCAATACCACCGCAGAATCCAATCATGCTGATGTGGTAGTTCTTGAGTCGACGCTGCGTGGCACCACGGCCACCAACGTTAAGCTCCATCTCCCCTTTTACCGGGGGACCATCCTCTTCGCCATAGTAGTTGGGCACCTTCGGATCACCGCTTCCATGATGCTCAATCTTATTCTCCGCAGCGGAGACTGAAGAGTCGTACATCGTTTGCGCCGAAGGTGTGCAGGTGCTCACGGGCAGAGGGAGTCCGGGGGAGGGAAAGCTGAAATGTGGGATGAGGGGGAGGGGGGAATGTCTTGGAGAGAAGAACACCGGGGGACAATTATATCAATCGACGACAGGCAGGCGACCAACCGCTTGAACCGCGCAGCTTGCCACCGATCGGCCTCGCGCGGAGAACCACTTTTTTTTTTCTCCCACCGTCGCCGCAATGTGCAATCGCCATCACGACATCGGGTACCGGGTTGGCACCATGCCCTTTTGACGCTAAGCGTGCGACCCTCCCCACCGCACGCGTGCCGTTCTATGGTGAGTTTCCGAAGACGGCCTCCACTTGGCCCGCGAGATGGGGACTGCGATTGAACATGCAAATTAGTCATTCGTGCTGATACCAAGCTTTAAATGACAGGGGTAGAAGAGCCAAGGACTTCTTCTGCATTCAAGGCGAGTCCAGGATTGGAGGAGCCATGAGGAGAGTCGGTGTGGCGAAGGCATTACAGTTTTTCGAGAAAAAAGAAAACCCGTGAAAGTTCCCAGTTCCGGATCCGCCCTTTGGAGTGTGCAAGGCACGTGTTTTGTATGGCTCCTAGTCCCGTTATAGCTTAGTGTGGTCTGCAACGGTTCCTGCAGCCGCTCACTGCAATCCCGCACTATCAGCTTACGCTTAAAATTCTAGCGTCGTTCGGGCCAGAGCCAAGACGGAACTGCTGCTCATCGCTTCTGGAGTCATTGTGCAGTCCAGCAATGCAGGTGTGCTTCTTTTAAGGATCATCCACATGGGTTCAACTGTACTGCAATTGCTTCGTATGCTTCAGTCTTGTTTCATTCATCATCAGATCCAGTTTGAACCCGCCGCCTCCGATTCGGAGAAACCTACTCCGCTTCTCACCTAGCTCTTACGTAAAACTCACACAAGCTCGGCGACCAAAGCGTAATTAGCTTCCCTTCGATACGCCGTTCGTGAGAGCAATCAATCAATCAAGCTGGGCAAACATGATCAGAGATGGCCGCTGTTCCGTGCGGGAAGGCAATTTCGGCCGAGCAAAAAGGCTGCCTGAAGAAACGGGATGACTGGTCGTGGTCTAGATTGCTAGGCGCATCGAGTATTGTTCTTCTTCCAGTTGATGTCACTCGTTGCCACTGTCAGGTGCGGATGGACCCCAGGGTGGCTCTCATGAGCACATTGCCATGTCAGATCACGTCATAAGAAGCGTACGATCAATCGTATGGGCATTCTGTATAGTGTTTGGGAGGTGTAAGAAGTGTGGTGTGGTGACAGTGTTAGACGGTAGTCTCTCGAGTTCTCAACCATTGACGATCATTTGTTTATCCATGCTCAAGCGGCGTGCATGATAGCTTTGGACGAGTGGTACTGTACATTTAATGAATCAGAAACATTGCAGGGTGGAAGTAGTGGCTCGATTCGTTCTTAGTCCATGACCTTCGTTCCCTCAGGCTGAGGGCAATTGAAATGTGTGGGCTAGTAACGTCGAGTTGAGATCGGAACTGCCCAGAAAATAACCGCTATCAGAGCTAGTCTTCGGACATGCTGGGTCGACGGGAACCAAGTAGGGCTGATCGCCTGATGATCTTCACTGAGAGATGTTCTTTGGAGAATGGCTGTGCAGATTCTCCGTGCTCATTCGCATGGACCACGACGCACCAGTGCCATCATCTCAAGTCCTGCGCTATACTCTATGCAATTTCTCAACAAGCAGCATACTATGCAGCCACTATGACTCCAGCGTCCCCAACAGGTACTCGAGAATCCGCAGCAGATTCAAAACTCACAGATGGCATCCAAACCAAAAAGAAAAGAGACTCAGATGCTCATTTTCAGAACCCAGCCTTCACCACAGCAAACTAATATACATCACCCCAAAACCAAAACCATAGCCTTTTATGAACCCCAACGCCAAACATACGGCACATAAAATACACATCACCACTCCCGGAAACAAAACGAAGTAGAGATATCATCAAAACCCATCACCGCCAGCAACCCGCACCAACATCCTCCCTCATATCATCCATCCGCAACCCCGTTCACAATCCCCTCATTTCTTCCCCTCCTCCCCCTCTCCATCCCCCTTCCCCCAAGTCCAAACATCCCAGATGTGGTCCCGGATCAAATCCCCATACCCCTTCCCCTCGTCGAGGGCCTTCTGCTCCTCGCGCAGGCGCCGCTCCTTCCACCCCTCGGTCTCCCCGCCCATCCACACCCGCTGCAGCACGGGCTTGTCGAACTCCTCGCGGGCCTTCAGCTTGGCCAGCTCCTCCCCCTTGGCCTCCTCGATCTGCCGCTCGCGGTCCGCCTTCAGCCGGGCCTGGATCTCCAGCGCGCGCTCACTGGGGAGCCCGTTCCCCAGCGAGGCCAGGGGGTGGCTCCGGCCGGAGGAGATCTTGTCCTCGAGGCGGTCGACGATGCTGCGGCCGGTGCGCTCGCGCGTGAGGTGGTTGGCCGAGATCGAGAAGGCGCTGAGCTGGAGGACCGTCAGGTTGTCGAGCTTGCGCGGCGGGAGGGCGATGAGGATCGGGGAGGCGACCAGGAAAGTCCAGGCGGCGTAGGTCTTGAAGCGTTGGTAGTCGGCTTCCCGTTGGCTTTGGAGGGTGGCTTGCTGTTGTTGTTGTTGTTGTTGCTGATCTGGGGTAGTGGGGGGTGGTGGGGTGGTCATCTTGTTTTTGTTCCGAGGTGGGCGTCGGGTAGCTGAGACGCTTGTTTGTGGGATTCAAGTGTCAAGGAGTAGCTGGGCGGAGTCTTGATGTTAAAGGGTATCGAATGTTGGGTGCCGGTTCGTTTGTTTTTCGTGATGAGATTCTTATCGGATGCAGGATATTGTTTCGAAGATGGAAATTTACGGCGGACGGTTGCGCCAGATGCGCAGACATTGATCATGTGACGTCCAGACATGGTTCAGTTTCTCCGATCGTTGCCAGGCCTAGACACAGGCTGTATAACGGGAACAGATATCGATTGCTGCTGACGTTCCTGTATATATGATACAGGTTTTTTAGATGACAGTAGAGGATCTTGATTTCATAAAGAGCCTCGCCCACGTCCCCATTGCAAAACCGAAGTGTAAGGTGACCGCATAATACAAGATTCGTCAGTAGCCGCTTTCTGAACCATGACAATATCTCAACAACAACAACAAAGTCCCTTTTATCTCCTAGTCTAGGGACATCCTGTTGATAGTAGATGTGTCGCGTCACCTACCCTAACTATAAGATTTGAGGAGGTATATGAAGTGATCCCTTGGTTCATGGTATGTGGGGAACATTTTACTTACTGATGGCCTACCTCCTCTTTCCGCTCGAATATATCAACACTTCTTGATCGGCCTTTCTTGTAGCATCAATTCTCGTCACTCATTGGCCAAGAAGCTTTGCATGTTCCCCCATGCTTGTACAACACCCAGAGATTGGATGGAAATTGGATGCAATGTCCAGCATCAAGAGAGAGATGGTAGGCAGGGGAAGTCGAACTCTTAGATGCTCACAGTGTCAGAGCTCATGAAGAATGCCAGAGTAAAGTAGTTTATTGCTGTGTGTAGTATAGTATACCACTCATCATGAAAATGCTATGCTAATTCTAGTAAACAAAAGGGTAGACACGGCCCACCGGTGGTCTATATACAGACCCTCACCCGGCGAGGGGAAACAAAGCTCCTGTATCGCTTTCGTCGGAGAATTTAACTCGCTCGTAGCTGATGGCCGCGTTGCCTGGCCGTTTTGCTATTGCTGTCTGTGTGTTTGTGGACTGCGACCATTGTTTTGGTGGACAGAACAGCGGTGGTCGTCTTTGGAAGAGGTCGCAACTCTCTTCGTGTCCGTTATGTTCATGATTCTGGGCATGGTTCAGGACACTGATAGAGCTTTTTGTGCTCTATGTGGACCATGTCTCAGTTTCCTTAGCATTCGTCATGTTCAAATTATTCAGAGGGCGGAACGGCCGCGTTGTCTGGCCGTTTTGCTTGTACTGTCTGTATAATGTTTGTGGCTTGCGACCAGTTTTCTTGTGAATAAGACAGCGGCGGTCGACTTTGGAAGAGGTAGCAGGTCTCTTCGCGTCCGTTATCTTCATGGTTGTCGCCATGGTTCGGGATCGTTTTGATGAAAGACCGTTGTCTCTGTGGGCAGGGCAGCGGTGATCGGCTTCTTAGGAGGCAGCAGCCTTCCCAAGAATTGGCAGAGTGGACTATTTGACAGGCAGGGGAACCTCTAGCTCCATGTTATGGTCGTTTCTGGCTTTGGGCCAACGCCAATCGGTTCAGTGGCGTCAGGAATTGCGAGGATGAGGTTTTTGAGATGCAGGGGCTCTGTCCCTGTTCTGGTCACAGATATCCTTCAACTCAACGCCCAGGTGTGCACTAACCCTGAAATGATGACAAGTAGGAAGTGGTATCGAGAATCGACGAAGTGGATGCTTTGGCGGGCACGAGAAACGTCCTCCATGTCCACATCCACATCGTCTTGCACGTCGACCATCTCAACGTCCGGGTCATAAATGACCACGGGCTCAAAGTCATAGGAGAGGCTATGCTCAGGTTCTCCGAAAAGCACTCTCCGGCAAACGTCTTTCAGTCTCATATCCTGGTCATGATTGACCTTGGCGTGACGGAGAATAGACTTGGGCAGGGGCAAGCGGGGCTGCTTGAAGGCTGGATTTCTGTTTTTAGCCTCGCCACACACATCTTTCATCACCACGTCCTGGTCATAGCTGATCTTTAGGATAGATCTGGAGAGTAATGGGGATTGTTGGGGCGAGAAGAGAGCAAAAAGAAAAAGAAAAAGAAAAGTTGAGGGAGGAAGATGGAGGATTGGGGGTGAGGGACAGAAGACAAGCCAGGAAGTGGAATTTGGGAATTGGAAGTCTAGGGAAAGAGATATTTGAAACAACATGTTGATTCACCACGGAAGGAACAGGGTTGATCTGTGAATACAATGGAAACTTCGTGGTCGGTACTAGAGCTAGGAAGGAACAGCTAGCCAGGGCTACCAGGCCCTAGCCCTAGGTGAAGTAATATTCTCAAGCATTTAGCCTCTAAGTAAGTACAATACCTACAGGGAAGTGAATACAACAAGTTGTTAGAGACACCTGATTGTCCACTTGGAATTCAGATTGATTTACAGTGAATGCTAGCAGCCATTCGGCAGGGGAAAACTCATTGTTGATTTGTCTCCTGACTAGACTACCAACGAATTGAGTCGGGGAAGGGAAACAGTGATGTCTGTAGCTTTAGCTTGCAGTCCATCAACAAATACCCCATTGGGGTTCAACACCATACACGAGGAACAAACATGCTGATAGGGAGCACACTCTGTGGGAGTGAAGAGTCACAGGGGCAGAAGAGTTTTGATTTTTTTTCGGATATGGGAGGGTTGAACTTTCTTTTGTGTTTTGAAAAGAGAAACCTGGGCTTTCAGACAACACAAGAAGAGAGACAGGAACTTGAAGCTTGCATAGCTTCACTCACTCCATCGACACATCACACACCCACCAGGGAAGCTCGGGGGCATCTTCCATCTCAACATCAGCATCCCCCATCTCCACATCCGAATCATCCACAACATCAACCATCTCCACATCCACAGGCTCATCCTGAAGGGGGGGTAGGTGTTCGGGTTCCGCAAAGTGAACTTTGCGCGGGGGAAGAAAGGCATCCTTCATCACCCTATCCTGGTCATTGCTGACCTTTAGGATAGATCGAGGGGGGGATTTCTTGAAGGTAGGGACTTCGTCCCAAGCATCTTGCATCATCACGTCCAAGTCATTGCTGACCTGGGACGGACGCCGTTGGGAGCGGCAGCGTCGGGAATT